AGATGGAACAGTAGAGAAGGGATGGGCTGCAACTTTCTCAGAGCCTTGCAGGAAGCTGGAAGACAGTGGAATCAGGCCCAAGTCACTGCTGCTGTGATGACTCTTCTCCAACTTCCTTTAAACTTTATTTTTTATTTTTTAAAATATTTATTTATTTATTTTTAGAGAAGGGAAGGAAAGGAGAGAGAGAGAAACATCAATGTGTGGTTGCCACTCACGTACCCCCCCACTGGGGACCTGGCCAGCAACCCAGGCATGTGCCCTGGCTGGGAATTGAACCAGTGACCATTTGATTCACAGGTCCGTGCTCAGTCCACTGAGCTACACCAGCCAGGGCCCTTTAAACTTTAGATAAAGAAAAAAATCAGTTGGTAATTTCCTGGGTAGTCTAGAATTTACAGAACAGTGTCATCCTGTATGATTGAAGGTCAAGCATCTCTCTACCCTGACATTTTTAAAGCTCGTTAGCATTGTTTTTGCAAAGTTAGAGCATGTTTTTTTTTCTCAGGAGACTGAGACTGTTGTGTCACTGACTGAACCAGGATGTAAAGGACAGAGGATTTTTGCGGGGGATGGGGGTAAGCGAAAAGGAACTAGGTCAGTTGCAGAGTGTGTGAGTTTGTTTTAAACATGTTGAATTAAGGTGCTAGCATTTAAAAAAAATTCTCATAGCTACTTTCCTCATCATTTAATTTCTAACCTTTTATAATCTATCAATTGTTGGGATTTCTGCTTTTGCTTTCTGTCACATAACCAGAAGATTTTTTTTCCTGAATGAAGTACTTCATCTTCTTAATTTCCCACCGTTAAGTTTTATTTGCACGCCGTATGTGGAATAAAGCTTAAATTTCTTGGACTGATATTCATTTGCTCTGGCTTCTTTTTACAGCCTAATATTTCATTGCTGTCTGTTTTACTTAAATTACACTACTTATTTCTTTTGTACAAGATACATGCTTTCTTCCTTTCTACTGTTCTTATTGAAATCTCCTACCACCACCCACCCCTCACCTGCTTGCAGGCCATTCTTTCGAAACCTTATGTTCTTTGAGATAATTTTCCTCACTTCTCAGAGTATATGGTACTTACTACTTACTGTACTGTTTAGTTGGCCTTTTCTCATAAGCATGGCAATAGAGAAAGGTGGTTAGAATTGTGTCATTTAGTCACAGCTTGATTTTGAACTATATATTTAACCTCTTCCCGCCCCATCTTTAACTGGGGATATTTTTGCTCAAGGAATAGTGTCTAATTCATAGCCTTGTTAAAAGGATTAAGAGATGTGAATGTAATGCGATTATTAGAAGTAGGTACCACATTGGAAGTGCCATAAATAAATAATTTTGTTCCTTTTGTCTTTTTTTCTTGTTTCCTACCTTTCTTCTTCCTTCCTTTCTCCCTGCCTTCTGGTCTTTCTTTCACATTTAGCGGTTACAAGAAGGGCTTTCTGGTCAGACAGATCTGCGTGTTCACCCCAGCTCTTTCACTTCCTGTCCTGGCCTCAGGGTGTCTTAAGCCCTGATTTCCTCATTTTTAAAATACTGTGGCCTGACACACGTAAGTGCTCAGTAAAGGTCACTGTTGTTTCTTTGTGACATATATTATTGGCAACTAACTTAAATTGCTCTTAATCTTTCATTCATATAAGCCTTATTTCTCAAGTAGCTAAGTAAACTACCTAGAAGGATACCATCTGTTTATGCTACTTATCTTCTCCTAAAATAAATACCTCAGTAGGTATTACACGCTGGGGGAAGTTATATGTAAGAAGACAAAGTATGATTTTATTATTTTATTCAAGCACCCAATTCCCCCCAGTGAATCGTGTTAAAAATTACATGGTAGAATGTGGCTTGTGCTAGAATGCCTCACTATATACTTTTGTTCTTTTCCACCTTAATTTTGGCCTATTTCACCTTCCAAATCTGAGAGTGGATCTAACCACTTCAAGTCAGTAGTTTAGAAGGAAGGGAGGAGGAGATGTTGGCAATGTGATGTTCATGTATTGATATGAAGGAAAGGGATGTCGAAAGCAATAGTGAAGAACAAATTTTCCCCAATGTGTTGCTGTTAGCATAGTTTGATTTTTCTTTGCCTGGGGCAATACCTGGGTCAGGTGGCTATGTGTGTGAAAAGAAGCCAAGAGGGACAGGTGGGCAAAGATGGTATCATTGGGGAAAATGGCCCTGGTCCTGTTACTGAATAGCATAGATGTCAGAGGTAGAGGAGTGGCCCCACAACACAGGTGTTTATAGTTAGTACAGTGATCTTTTTCATTGTTAAAATGTAGCCTAAAGAATGTGCAGCTTTGGCCTGTCAGGTTAGCTAGTCCTCCTTTCGGGAAGATGAAATAAAAGAATGCATGGGACTGTCAGCTGTCTTCTTCCTTAGCCCGTCATAGCCCCATCCTCACCCTTGATGGGAGGGAGGATGGAAGCAGCCTCTGTGGGCTCAAGTGGATGTGTGAGGGGATTGGGGGCATACACATTCTTCCTTTACTTAAGCCTACTTGGCATTTTTAAAAAAGATTTTATTTATTTATTTTTAGGGAGAGGGGAAGGGAGGGAGACAGAAGGGGAAACGTCTGTGTGAGAGGGAAACAGGGAAACACTGATCAGTTGCCTCTTGTGCACATCCCGACCAGGACCAAACCCGCACCCCAGGCACAGGCCTTGACACGTGATGTGAACTGCTGACCTTTGGCTTTTTGGGATGACACCCAACCAAGTGAGCCACACCAGTCAGGGCCTTGGCATTTTGACTAAAATTAAGTTTATTAATATGTTGTCAGGGTAGAGGTAAATCAGAGATTCTCGTTTTTATCACGAAAGCAAGTGAATGTGTTTTCCCTGGCTCTCTCTTGTGTTCTCCAAGTGTGTACCTCTGCTTTGGTGACTTTATTTGGCTTTGACTTTCTGAAGTACAGTGTTACTTTTAGACATTCTTTACTGCATCTGACAATAGCCATTGTACTTGCCACTGGAGAGGATAGAGGTGAATGTCCATAAGGGCTTTGTAGCAGTGTATTTCCTAGGCCCTCACACTCTGTTTCGGGAGCTTTTGGTGACGAGAGCTGCCAGGTGATCCTTGGACCCCTTTTACTTTCCAAGTTGGGTGCTGTAAGGTGAAGAGCGTAAATAAAGCACCTCACTTCATGGTTCTTCCTCTCAGTTTCTCCTTCTGCAACCCTTTCTTACACTTTTAACCTCTGTTTTTAAAGAAGGACGTGGAATGATTCATTCACCTTTTTCAAGTTTTGTCTTCAATCTTATGCCATTGTGTATCTGGGAGTTGATAGTTTTTAAGTTTAAATTGATTTGACCTATGAAGGCTAAGGTGAAAAGTATGTTACATGATCTCATGATTTGTCAGTATGGAAGTAATGGATCTATTTACATACATTGTTTGCTACATTTTTCCTCTGTGAGGACCTTTTGTAAGGAAATGACATTCTTTCATGAGGAGCAAAGGGCAGTATTTTCAGAAATAGCTATGTGGTCCTCAAGAGAAAACATTCTTTTGCCATGAAATATACTTACCAGACATTTTGGAAAAATTGCAACCTAAATAAGAAATATATAACTGTAATATGTTTGGGATTAAAAATTATCTTAAAACATTTTAGCTAGTATATTTGAGAACAGAGTTTCTTTTATTAGAATTAGAAACTTTTCAATGAAGTTGAATTTGTAATAGTTCATCGTGATGCATGCTGGTTGAAAACTGATGAACTAAAACTAGTGATAGAAGTAATTTCTGTTTTAATATTAAATATTATAATTCTGGTGTTGCTTTATTTTTTAATTTAATTTAGTTGGGTCAGGTTTGAATGGAAGCTGACTTCTAATTGATACAATTAAAATGTAATTGAAATAAAAACAAGTTCAAATTATCAAAAGGATTATTTTCTAATTATACTGTATGTGCAACCATAATTTCCTAACCGTAGTTGAGAAAGAAGTGCTTACACATTTGGTAATGTTTGTTTCATAGTATATATTTTTATGAGTACCATAGTTAATGCTCATTTTGAAAGCACTGAAATTTCAGGGTTATTATAAATTTTGTTTAAACAAATGAAGTTATTTAGTTTGTTTTTCTTTTGAATAATAAAAATGTGTAGTTTGTAGGGAAGCTTTTGTAGGGAAGCTTTATTCACTGTGTGTCTTTTTTAACTACTTGAAAACTCGCATTTAGCCTATGCACTTTACCCTTTTTTGCTACTAATAATTTTTTTAAAATAAAATAAAAATAACTTCTTCTTTCTTTTGCTTTAAAATGTTTGTCATTTTGTGCATGCCAGATTTATTGGACCGCAGTAGTTTTAGTGCAGTTTGGCTGGATGTTTATTATGACATCACTGTAATCTATATACAGTATGTGATTTCAGATGGTTTCAGTGTTAAATATTTTCATAATTATGCTAGTTTTGGCAGTTCACTTGGAACTTTTTCACATCTCTTTAATGAATATGTTTTACTTCTGGGCTTTCGAGACAACCATATGTTTCAAAAATTAATAGTGTGCTTTTAATGTTAACGTTGTGCAGAAGTGTGTGACTGCAGACATTTTTAAGGATGTAAGTTGAACTAAAAGTAATTACAGTAAAGTTTTATTCACAGTAGTAGTCTTTCAGTATTTAGAGACTGTAACATCCCCCAAAATAACAGAAGATGTCATTATAAAGACTGAATAGTGAAGTTGTTTTGTGAAACGGACCATTGTGAAGTTTGTTTTGCATTAACTTAAAAAGAATATAAGTTCATGCAAAAATTTTCTTTGTCATTTATGATAGTAATTTTTACTATTTAATTGTATTGGAGTTTCAAACAATTTTTTTTTTCTGCTAACATATCACTAGAATTTGAAACCATGCTATCATGTAAAAGATTCATCTTTTGTTGTATCATTCTCTTAGTGTGGTATATTGAATAAGAATTTTTGTTTTCTGAAGGAAGTCTTATGGCTCTTATTTGTCTCTTTCTTTAAAATAAATACAGGACGACCATGAAAGCTGTGGTTCTAATTCTACCAACCCTAGTACTACTGAGAACACAAAATCATCAGTAAAACCTAGAAGAATTCAGCAGGCTACTCCCACAGATCCTGATTTACCACCAGGTAACTTCTTATGGACTTATAAAGCCAAAAATTCACTTGTTACTAATTGTTGTGACCCTTTGTAGAATATACTCCTTTAGTATTCTTTAGTTGTATAACATATTTAGACTAAATGTGTATGTGCATTTGCTGCATGAATTCAGAACAGATTGAGTCCAGAGCCTGATGAATGTTTTTCATTTAAATTTTGAATCTCTTTTGCAGTAGATTGTTTCCTGAGTTTTCTTATAGGCTCTCCTTGCAAAAACTTGCCTCTGATTTCCCACTCATAGTCTTTTGGTTCTCCTTGCTTCTTGATAAGTACAGAAAGACACTAGAGTGTTCTGAGTTTCTAGAACACATAAAATTCACTAACAGAAACACAGAATTTTATAACTGGGATAGACCATCTCTTTTATTTCCTGAAATTTCTATTTACCTGGAACAGTAGTGACTTATACATGAAAGTTCCTTGATATTATTTAATGAAGAAAGAAACAATGATCATCATATGTTAGCTCTGTGCTTGAAGTGCATTGGTGTCTTTTTATAGTTAGGGATTGTTTATTAGTCACTTCTCTTTTGATTTTATTTATCAGTTTTTTTCCCCTAAGATGAAGGTGATATTGGTATATACTTATTTTCTGTGTTAAACGTTTGTGGGCTTTCTGTGCTGGTTTTAACTTAGTTAATTTTTTACAGTCTTCTGTCACCATTTGCTTTACCTCTATTAGGTACATAATTTCGTAGCCTTTCTCCCTCAAATATATGTTCTAACATTTTTAAAAATCCTTATCTAAGGATATGTTTGTTGATTTTAGAGAGAGAGGGAGGGAGGGGAAAGAAAAACATTGGAGAGAGAAACATTGATCAGTTGCCTTCTGTTCACACCTGGACTAACTGGGGATTGAATGCTCAACCTAGGTGTGTGTCCTGACTGGGGACCTAACCCATAACCTTTTGGTGTATGGGAGGACACTTCAACTAACTGAGCCTCCCAGACCAGGGCTGAATTGAACATTTTTAACTGGTGTTAGAGTGATGTTAATGCTGATGCTTTGTATTCTTCAGAACTCTCTACCTCAAAGGCCTTGGTAATCCTCTGGCTTTAGAATAGATTAATTGCTATTACTGGAGAAAAGATTTTAATACTGAACATTTCTAATTTTACTTAGAGTAGTGTGGTGGTTCTGGAACTTCCTAATTTTTTTCTTGCTAATTAAATCCTTGGGGAAAAAATTAGTGGTGTATTAAATTAACCTGTAAATTAAACTGTAGCTTGTTTTTATTTATTAATTGGGCCACACTTTTACCCCTCCAAATTTCTGATTACCTATACCTCCCCGAACTAGAGAAACATCCATCTGTTGTTCCACTTATTTATGCACATTCATTATGGTTGTTTCTTGTTGCTCCCTACTGGAGATTGAACCTGCAGCCTTGGTGTATCAGGACGAGGCCGTAACAAACTGAGCTACCTGGCTAGGGCCCAAGTCCCAGACTTCTAATGATTTTTCTTTTTTTAGAGCCTGTGTTAGAATTTACACTGGCAGTCAGAATTGGGATAATCAGTCTACTTTAGAAGCATAAAACATAAAAACATAAACGTAACATAAAACATCCTATTTTTTAGTGGCATAAAACAGAGCTGTGTTCTACCTGAACTACCCGAGGTAGCTTTTGAATTAACATCTGCTTTTCTGCCTTACCTAATGGGAGGACTCATATCCTCTTTTTTGCTGACATAAATCACAGTTAAGGAGTTATTTTAGGAAGTAACTGAACTTGTTGGGCAATTACTGGGAGGCAGAGCTGCTAAACTTAATCTTGCCAAAGGAAAAAAAGGGATAATTTGAGAATCCAGTTGGATAATGGTAAGTTATTTTACTTCAAGGTTAACTCATACGGTTATTTGAGGACTCATTTCTGGTAACCTTACTCTGCCCAGGAACCATATTAATGTTCTTTTATTGTAGGGATGAATTCTTGCCCTCAAAATTTTCTAGAGCAACATTATTTCTTCCAGTATCTGTGGTTACAGTTTTTGAGTTTGAACATTTGCATAAATCTAGAGATGCTTATTGAGAAAAGTTTTGGTGTTGCCTGTTGCCAGTAGTTGTTTTTTTTGTTAGAAATGTTAGAACATATATTTGAGGCAGGAGGGCTATGAACTTATGTACCTAATACAGCCTTTTAGAGGTGAAGCAAATGGTGCCACAAGACTTCTCCCTGAAGGCTGGGAGACTTGTAATAGGAAAAGATGGTGAGTCAATATCTAATATTTTCTTTGCAATCTCTATTCTTGATAACTAGAACAGTCTTTTTCCCATTATGGATCCTGACCAGTTAGTGCGTTATGAAGGCAATGTAGTGGGTCCTGGCAGAATTGAAAAAATGTGTGGCAAAGAATAGAAAACCTGATAGCATATGGCGTACAGTAAAGGGTAGTAATATTTCAAGAAACTTTCGCATATGCGTGCATTTGTACTGGATGATGATGTAATGTTTTTGACATCATTTAAAAAATACTGTGAGCAGGGTCAAAGAGGTTGAATTTGACTGATTTGAAGCATACACATTTTATTTCAGTTAATAATATATAGTCCAGGACCTTCAGTTATTGCTAATAATAACAGTTTTGAATTATGGGCTTATTATATCCTGTAAGACATGCTGATGGCTTGTATTTAGAGACAAAGTTTAAGGGTGTTTTGTTGATTTATTAATTTATGCATACTTTCCTCATTATTCTCTAAACTTTGTATCTGTGTAAAGTGATACCACTTCTAAGCTAGATACCTGGATTATTCAGTTCTGTGCTCTCTTAAGTGGACAGCCTTTGGTTTTTATTGAAGGTTGTTATAAGAAGCAGCCCACAATGGGTTGCTTCTGCATTTTTCCTAAAATGGCTTTAAAGTAGGTTATGCTTCAAACTATTAGTTTTCAATAATCTTTAAGGTATATAGTGTTTACATTTTGTTTACTACAGGAAAGGTGATAATTGGAGAGCCTTTATGGCATTCTAGTTAGATTGAATTTCAAAACATTGCTTAGTGGAGCCTGGCTGTTCAGTTCCCTAAATCTATACTGTTCTGTGAATGAGAGTATGCTGGACCAGCTCATCAAATGCTGTCTTTGCTCTCAAAGACTTAACTGCTTAATATAGGAGACTTTCTAAACTACTAACTACAGGGTCAAGTCAAAGTAAAGAGGAACACCAAGGAAGCACAAGTAATATATTTTGGTTACTAAAAAAAGGAGTGGTTATGTGCAGGTGTGTGTGGTTTTCAAAACACAGGTAAAACTGAGAGGCAAAAAGAGTGCAAATGAAAGGATGGGAAATGGCATAATAGACGCATACTATCCAAAAATAAATAATGTATTTATAGCATATAAATCAGGCAAATAAAACCTAAGGTAGTAGTGTTAAAGAACATACATAGTAGAGATACTAAGAGTTCTCCAAAAAATATATGACTTTGTATGTACATAACAACCTAGCTTTGAAGTGTGCTAGGTCAAGCAGAAAAAAAATCTCATGACTGTATCTTTGAATATCAAAATTAACAATATTGTTTTAGTAGATATATGTATAACTCTGTACTCAGCAGATGAGACAGTGTGTACATCCTTTTGATGCACACATGGGGTATCTACAGACTTGGTATAAAAGAAAGTTTTGATAAATTTCAAAGAATTGCTATCATTTTGACCATCCTCTTACCACAATACCATTAGAGTGTAATTACTGATATGTTTGAATTTACCTCTACTGTCTTATTACTTGTTATATCTTTATAAGCTCTTCTTTTCATTCTTCTGTTCTCCCTTTCATATCTACTTTACCTTTGACTCCTGACATACACTAAGTCCTGAAATACACTCTTTACAGGTTTTTTGACTACATTTAGTGGGAAAGATAATGGGGAACATGATTACTTTATCTTACCCAGGATTAGAGCCTGTTAACATTTTGGGTGTGTGTGTGCATGCACATATACACACATACTTTTTTTCTGTAACTTGCATTTTTAAATTTAATGCTATATCATGAAGATGTTTCTAGGACATTTATATTTTTTACATCAGTATTTTAGTCATTGGGGTATATTCCATTGTATAACTTAAGTTTATTTAAACAATACCTTTTTGTTGATATTGAGGTTATTTTTCATTTTTGGTTTCATAAAATGTGTTAGTCAACATACTAGGAGGTAAATCTGTGCACAAACCTCTGTTTATTTCCTGAGGAGAAATTCTTAACAGTTTATAGAATCAAAATTAGGGGTAATTTTAATGCTTTGACATGTATGGCCAAATTTTCCTGTGTGAAGTTTGTTAATAATACTTTTTTCAAAGCACAATTTTGGTCCAGTGCTGTTATTTCTTATTAAGAAGCACTTCTGTGAAACTTTTATGGATGGAAAATGCTATTATATATTTTATTGCTAATTAAGATAACCATTTTTTTATCATTTTCTTTTCATCACTTTGTTATGTAGAAAAGCTAATTGTTACACTTTGTCAGCTGCTCAGTATTCACCATTTTTCAGTCTCACTTTTTGTAGTTTCCATATAAAAATATAATCATCTTCATGTAATGAATAATTTTGCCTTTTCTTTGTTAATACATGTAGTTATTTCTCTTTTTTATCCTTGTTTAGTTGTTTAGAACTTCTGTGATTACATTAGGATAAGAAAAGTGGTCGAGACAAGTCTCCTTAATGTTGATGTGTGGGGTGGGGAACATTGGAGAAGGAGGTATAGGGGAGGGGACAGTCATACTGGGCTTGAGAAAGAATGGAGAATGGGCAAAGAGTATTCTAGACGTAAGGAAGAACATGAACAGAGTCAATGAAAATTCATAGTGTTTTATCTGACCCTGTGGGCATCAATGTATGTATCTGGAGGAATGGGGTTTGTGGATAGGAGAGAGTTGGATAATAGGAGCTTCTGGAAAGATTGACTAGTAACAGGATAAAAAAAAACATCTGATATGATGTCTTGTAGGTTCTCATCCCCCCAGTAGCCTTGCCCTTTCAGATGCTTGTGGAATAGACCTGGAATACTGTTACATTATCTGAACAGTTATACTCCCAGGGGATCTCTAAATATGGAGTGATGAGCGGTAATAGAGCTGTCGTTTGATACTGTCTGTAGCTTTCAGGGGTGTCCAACCTGAGGCCCATGGGCCACATGTGGGCCAGGATGGCTGTGAATGTGGCCCAACACAAATTGTAAATTTGCTTAAAACATTATGAGATTTTTGTTTGTTTTTGTTAGTGTTTGTGTATTTAATGTGTGGCCCAAGACAACTCTTCTTCCAGTGTGGCCCAGAGATGCCAAAAGGTTGGACACCCCTGTAAGAGATGGTGTATCATTTATTCCATTGGATAATCACTGTTTCTTTGGCATTGCATTTTCAATAAGGAAATATACATAGTCTCCTGTAGATATAGCTCTTTTTAGAAATTTGGTTCTTTTGGTGAATGGGCTTATTCATCTCAGTTTGTCAGTTTTATGATGAGAAACTGAGAAAAATATAAAAAAAAAGAAAAATCCATCATTAGTGATCTGTCATTTAAAATACATCTACAGTATTATGTTGGTATTATTTTATATTATACATTTTCTCCAGTTCTTTGAGGGTTTGTTTTTTTGTTTTGAAGATAATAAATCCTTAAGTGGTTTATATGAATTCCCTGTTGATGACAGGTTTTTCAGAAGTAGGAAAACCAATATTAGTCATGTTCCACTTTTTAGTGATGAAATTTTAATTTTAATTTTTAACATCTATATTAAGTAATAATAAATAGCATGGGGGAATATACAGGGATGGCCAAAAGTAGGTTTGCTGTTGTGAGTATGCAAGTTTATTCTTATATTATTATTTATTAATTATCGTGTTATTTGTATTATAATTATAAACCTACTTTTGCCCACCCTTGTACATTCTAAGGTTGAAAATATTGATATATAAAATTTCTTTTGGAAGCTTAGTTTGTTAAGCATTATTTTCGTATGTACTCTCATAAAAATAGTATTCGTTACCTTAAATTTATTGATATTCTGTATATCAATTAGAGTGTGGTAATTGGAACTCTAAAAGCTGCTAATAGTTTTTCATGTATCAGAAAAACTTGAACTTTGTGGCTTTACATTCCCTTCGCTTTTCTGTTCATTGGGAATGAATGAAGGAGTTGTTTTTTACAAACATGTTATGGTTGAATATAAGCTTTCTCACAGTAGGTGTTAAGTGTCATTTGCTGAAAGAAGTTGATTCTGTTTTGTCCAGTAAAGTTCTGGTTTAAAGAATACAAACAGTTATTTCATGAGATAGCTAATATTTCAATTAGTTTTTACATAGTTTTTATTGTGAAAAATGCATTTGCATAAAGTGAACGTTTTATTTTAATTTTTTTTTTGATCCTTACCCAAGGAAATTTTTTCATTGCTTTTAGAGAGAGAGGAAGGGAGAGGGTACAGAAAGGGGGGAAGGGAGGAAGAAAGAGAGGGAAAGCAACATCAATTGGTTGCCTGTCCTATGCCCTGTTAGGCGACCTAACCTGCAACCTGACTGGAAATTATACCCGCAACCTTTTGGTTTGCAGGATGACACCCAACCAACTGACCTACACTGGCCAGGTGCTGAGTGAGGTGTGGTTTTTAGTCTTTTTCCCATTTTTAAATGTTGTTTATATTGAGTTTTATTTATATTTTCAATTAAATTCCTCAATAATGTACCTGTATTCCCATTTATTGTGTGAGAAACTTCTGAAAATATGGAGTATCCCACAAGAGCATGAAATTAAAAGAAAATTTTTGGGCATTTTAGGCAAACTATGGAGAAAAAGAATTGAAAGAAATTAATTTTGTTGTTTTGAGTTTTTTTGTAAAAACAATTATTTCGGATTCACCTTATTTTCTGTGTTCTCATTATGTTTTTATCTATTTTGTTTCCTTCCATACTTTTCTTTTTTCTATTTCCTTTGTTGTATTTTTCTTTCTTCTTTCTTTAACTCTGCCTACATTTTCTTCCTCATTCATATTTTCTTCTCTACCCTACAGTATGATGCATTAGTAAGTGGCACTAGTTGAATCTGATATGATGGTTATGTTTTTCCTATTTTTTTCCTCCAGGCCTAACTTTTTAATGTTCTTATGGCTATTTAAAGTAGAAATAGCAGATTCAAAAAGAATCATTAAAGCTATTCTTTTAATATATGGTATACTTAGCATATAGTAGCATAGTTTCATATGGGAAAATGTTTAATAAAGTAGATAGAAACCAAAGTACCTGTAGTATAGGATAATCATTGAAAGGGATATAGTACTATGTTATGAAAAGGTTTCTGGTAAATATGGTTTCTCTTAGTACATGAACACTTCATTATATACAACTTTTTTTCATTTTTAAGTATATTTTGTTGATTATGTTATTACAGTTGTACCATTTCTTTCTCCTCTTTATCCCCCTCCACCCTGCACCCTCCCTGCATCCAGCATTCCTCCCCACCCTTCATGTCCATGGGTCATGCATCTAAATTCATTTCCTATAGAACTCCATTTCCTATACTATTCTTATCTTCCCATGTCTGTTTTGTACCTACCATTTATGCTTCTTATTCCCTGTACCTTTTCTCCCATTCCATCCTCCCCCTCCCCAATGATAACCCTCCACATGATCTGCATTTCTGTGATTATGTTCCTGTTCTAGTTGTTTGCTTAGTTTGTTTTTGTGTTTTTAGGTTTAGTTGCTGATAGTTGTGAGTTTGTTGTCATTTTACTATTCATATTTTTTACCTTCTTTTTCTCAGACAAGTCCCTTTAACATTTTGTATAATAATGGCTTGGTGATGATGAACTCCTTTAACTTTACCTTATCTGGGAAGCACTTTGCCTGCCCTTCCATTCTAATTGATAGCTTTGCTGGATAGAATAATCTTGGATGTAGGTCCTTGTCTTTCATGACTTTGAATACTTCTTTCCAGCCCCTCCTTGCCTACAAGGTTTCTTTTGAGAAATCAACTGACAGTCTTATGGGCACTCCTTTGTAGGTAACTGTCTCCTTTTCTGTTATGTTTTTAAGATTTTCTCCTTATCTTTAATCTTGGGTAATGTAATTTTGATATGCCCTGGTGTGTTCCTCTTTGGGTCCAGTTTCTTTAGGACTCTCTGAGCTTCCTGGACTTCCTGGAAGTCTGTTTCTTTCCCCAAATTAGGGAGGTTTTCCTTCATTATTTTTTCAAATACATTTTCAATTTCTTGCTCTTCCTCTTCTCCTTCTGACACCTCTATAATTTAGATGTTGCAACATTTAAAGGTATCCCAGAGGTTCCTCAACCTCTCATCATTTTTTTTGAATTCTCGTTTCTTCATTCTTTTCTGGTTGAATGTGTATTTCTTCCTTCATGTACAAACTGTTGATTTGAGTCCTGGTTTCGCTCCCTTCACTGTTGGTTCCCTGTATATTTTCCTTTATAGACTTGCATAGACTTCACTTCTTCCTCTATTTTGCAGCCACACGCAGCCATTTCTGTGAGCATCCTGATTACCAGTGATTTGAACTCTGCGTCTGATAGATTATCTCCTTGTTGCTTCACTCTTTTTCTGGAATTTTGATCTGTTCTTTCCTTTCAGACATATTTCTTTGTCTTGGTGCACCTGTTACATTGTAAGGTGTGGAGTCTTAGATATTTGCCAGGGCGGGGCAACCCACTTGATTGTGTTGTGATGCTGTATGTGGGGGAGGGGTCAGAGAGGGAACAATGCCACTTGCTTGGCTCTCTCCCCACTTTCAGTCACTTCCCCTGCTACCCATAAGCCCTTCTGGTGCTGATTCCTTGGTGGGTGGATTTCGGTACTTTATAGTTCCCTGTGGGTTTCTCCAGTGAACTCTCCTGTGAGGCTGGGAGTTTGTTCCACCACCACTACCCCCACGGATTTTTACAGGCTTTAGTTTCTGGCGCTGGAACACTGGGTATGCTGTCTGTCTTGCTCACCAGTTGTTCCTCCAGGCTTACCCACATGGGAATGTGGGACTGCCTGGTCCTCTAGCTGCTGCCTTGCTGCATATCCTCTCCACCCTGGCTGCCTGTCTTTGCCCCTCCTACCAGTCTGGATGAATGTTTTTTCTTTACTTTCTTTAACTTGGTTGTTGGACTTCCATGCAGTTTGATTTTCTGGCAATTCTGGTTGTTTTATGTTTTTAAATTTGTTGTTGTCCTTGTTTTGGTTGTGTGAGGAGACAAAGTGTATCTAGCTACACCTTCATCTTGGTTGGACGTCCCAGTCTAGAACTTCTTTATAATGATGTTTGTTGGATTGAATCTGCTGCTTATTAGCTGTATTACTTCAGCAAGCCAAAATTACCTATCTGAATGGTGATTTCCTCTTTGTACAATGTACTAAGTATACCCACATTTCATAAACATTATACTCAATAACTTTTAAAGAAATATTTATTGACTAATTTGTGGCTAATTGCATTCCTTTTTTCTGTGTTACAGGTTATGTGCAGAGTCTGATTAGACGAGTTGTAAATAATGTAAACATTGTCATAAATAACCTCATTCTAAAATATGTTGAAGATGATATTGTTCTTTCAGTCAACATAACTTCTGCAGAATGCTATACAGTAGATGAATTATGGGATCGTGCATTTATGGATATTTCTGGTGAGTAAATGGCAAGAATAGTATAGATTTTTTATTATTGAAACTGTCTTGTTGGATTCTAAACCTTTCTTGGGCCAACTGGCTCTTAGATGAATCTAGGAAAACTATGCCTTCAGACTGGAAAAATGTACATATATGAAATTTAGTATGCAATTAGAAGAGGTTAGTGGATCCTTAGATTAAGAAATCCCAGACATGTTTTTTAATGTTTTTAATGTTTGTTTTTTCTTAGCTATAGAATGTTTATTTCAAATGTTGTGTATAATATTTTACAATGTTGTGAGTTATAGCAATAAAACTTAGATAATATTAAGTTAAAAATTTTAATATTTTGAAGGAATAAAGGGAGTATGTTGCTTTCCGTAGCTTGGTAATGGCAGACAATATAGCTGACTGATTTATATTTTGGGTTTACATATTCCAGAGTTCTTTCGGGATTTTTGGATAATCCTGATGCCTCCTTTGGAGAATACTACATTCTACTACTGCTTATCTTAAAAGAACTAAGTAATAATATAATTTTAATCAATACCATTTATTTATTATATTCTATTATATTCTGCTATTAATAAACTCACTATAATATTGTTTATTATATTTTGCATGGCAGGGATTGTGCTAAACATCGAAACTATAGCTAGGAAAATATCTCTCCTTAGTTCATCAGGAGAGATATTGATTAAATAAGTAATAACATTTGTTAATATATTTTCTGATAGAGTAAGAAATGGGTATTTTTGTAAACTATCTTAAGGAGACTGTTGTGAACACCTTTTATCTCTGACTTGCCATGGTATACTTTTGTTGAAAGTGTGTTTGAATCCTGGCTCTTCCACTTAGTACTAGATGTGTCATTGCCCTGGGTGACTTCACTTCTCTGTTTTTCAGTTTCTTAATTTGTAAAGTGAGGACAAAAATGAGCTTCTTTATGAATTATTTTATTAAATACATTAATGCACTGAATTATAAAAGTATCCTGTATATAGTCCTTGCTCTGAAAGGGAGCTATTATTATTATTTACATTTATTTTCTCTAAGCTTATAACAACTCCATAAAGTGATGATAGATATCTTCTCTCTTTCATTTAGTCATATATTCATTTACTTATCTTAAGTCCTAGTTAATGGAAAGCAGAGTGAAATTGAGTTTCAAGATTACTTAACTTGCCTAGTTAAAGCATGCAGCTAGGAACTTGCAAAATTGGGATACAGTTTTATTTTTGTGTGTTCTCCAGACTTCAGTCTTCACATTTTAAAAATCAGTAATAATTCTGATCTCACAGCTCTGTTGTGAAGCATAAAGAATCGTGTATACAAAGGCCCAGCCAAGTCTTTGGTTTCTGGGACATTTTTAATGCCTCCTTCTCATCCTCTATGGGAAGAAATATTCAATGAAATGCTAGAAGAAAAAACTATGTAAAATAGAAAACAAACAGAACTAGATTTTACAGGATTGAATAAATATGCCAACATTTTAGGAGAAGAAATTTCACTTACAGTTTTATTATAAAAGTAGTACAGATATTACTTTGGGAAATTCTTTAATGATGAATTGGAAAGATTGCTGAATTGAGAGTTAGGGGATCATGGTTTGGATCTTTTCTCCACCACTAACCTAGTACAACCTTGAGGGAGTCATTTGTAAAATGTGAATTATTATTGCCAACCTACCAGTGTATTTATGAGCATCACGTATGATACTGCATAAAAGCTAATGGTGATGGTGGTAATAAAGGCAGGAAAAATGGTATTTTATATTTATTGAATGCTTGCCAGGCTGGTGCTGTTTTTTACATTAATTATCTTATCTTATTTATTTATTTTTTAGAGAAGGAAAGGGAGGGAGAAAGAGAGAGAGAGAAACCTCAATGAGTGGTTTCCTCTCATTCGCACCCCCACCGGGGACCTGGCCCGCAGCCCAGGCATGTGCCTGACCAGGAATCAAGCCGTTGACTCCTTGTTCCCAGGCCAGCACTCAATACACTGAGCCACACCAGCCAGGGCTAGTTATGTTATTTTAATTCTTTAACCTTCTGAAGTAGATACTATTATTTTCCCTCTTTAAAAATTTTAATGAAGTATTTAATATTTACATAGGGATTTATGTAACATTTTTGTTATCAAACAATATAATGAATATATATTTTCTGAGTAACTAGAATACTTGTTTACCCTCCCCCACTCCAGTGTGCTTTTCCCTTTCCCATCCTCTTGCTTTCTCCTAGAATTAACTGCTGTATTAAATTTTATCATTCATTTGCTGAATAAAAGTTATACTGTTCAAAGGAATGAAGTATTGATACATACCACAACATGGATGAACCTTGAAAATATGATATGTGAAAGAAGCCAAGGAAAGTGTATATTGTAGGATTCCATTTCTGTGAACTGACAAGATAGCCAAATCTGTGTATACAGACTAGATTAGTGACTGTTTAGGGATTGGGGAGGGGAAAGGGCAATAAGGGAATTGGAGGAGTGATAGCTAAAGGCTATAGTTTCTTTTTTGAGGTGATGAAGAAGTTCTAAAACTGATTGTGGTGATTGATGGTTGCACAAGAGTGTCATTGCACTGAAGGTTTCTAATGTGTACTAAACATTTTAAATTAGTTAATTTTGTGTTATTTGAATTTTACTTCAAAAAAGTTTCATGTGTAAATGTGTACATAAGTGATATATTTAGTTACATGTATTTTTAAGCTTTATAAAAAGTTTTTTCTATGTTGTGTTTTAAAGTTTTCTGTTTTCAATTTAAATATTGAAAATTGAACATTTAAATATTGAAAAGTAAACATTTACTTTTTTCCATATTGTTGCATGTAGTTGCAAATTACTGATTTTTACTTATAAATAATATTCTACTATTTAAATATGTCTAAACTTAATTATCTGTTTTCCTGATGATGGGCACTTGGGATGTTCTAGAATTTTGCTGTTAAAACGAGTGCTGTTATGAATATTTTTGTGTCTATCATTTGACATGTTACCTGTGTTTCTTTAGGGCATATATTTAGTAGTGGGTTAGTTAAATTGGGAGGATATACAGATATTCACATTTTCAATATTGCCAAATTATTTTCTCCTGTGCTTGTTAGGTAGACACAGTTATTATCCCCATTTTACAGACTAAACTGCAGCACATTATCTAAAATAAATACCAGAAGTAGAATTCATTTTCTAAGTTTTTAAAACATAGGTGCTGTTTTATTTTTTCAGAAAAACATTTTCAAGCCTTCATAATTTCCTCTCTCACTGAATAGTAGTTCTCTAGAATATCCTCAAACACGACTCCTTCATGCTCTTCCTGCATGGTGGGTAAGAACACGCACTCTGGAGTCAAGTTGCCAGCGTCTGAATTAACTCTGTTTATTACGAATTAGCATTAGATAGAGTATATATACACCTTACTGTGCCTCAGTCTTCACATCTTCCAGTAGAGCCATGTAAATATTAGGATATAATGGACATAAAAGACTTAGTGTAGCATGCAGTTGCAAATACTCAGTAAATTATTATTTCTATAAAGAGAGGGAAGGAAGCATTTGGAGGGTTTCTTTCATTTCTAGCTTTACTATAACAGTTTCTTTAATTTGTGTACCTGTATATAATATCAGTAACTAAATAATTTAATAACATACTAAGTAAAATAAAATAATATGGTAAGTTTATGTATTTTTCCAACTAGCAAGTTAGAAATTTATTTGCTAATAAAACTTTACTGTTTCCACACATGGGCATACTCTTTAGTTTTTACTTCTTAAAAAGTAAATCCTAAAAAAGATAAAAAATTAAAAGGTGAATTAATTAGATGTTGCCAGAATATACTTGGGAATAGTGTTATCCAAGAATGGATTAACACATATTATATTGTTTTGAAGATTTCTGTGGCTGTAGCATGGGATAGCTGCTAGCTTAGTCACTGACCAAGTAGACCTGGGCCTGCTATTTACCTAAGAATTGCAAACTAAGAATAAAACTACTGATTTGCTAAAGGTTTCATTTTCTAGTTTGATATTTCACCAGTAATTATTTCTTTTTTATTGCCTTGAAAACAAACTTGATAACTGTTGTTGGTAATTCTTCATTAGTTATTAGAGCAGCACTAGCCCACTAGAATTTTTTATGATGGTGGGTATGTTTTATATCTTTAATATCCAGTATTGTAGCCAGTAGCCACATGTGGCTATTGAGCACTTGAAATGTGACTAGTGCAACCAAGGACCTGAAATTTAATTTTTACATAATTTTAATTAATTCATATGTAAATTTAAATAGCCATGCATCATTGGTGGCTACCATATTAGTGCAGATTTAGAACATAGCATCAAGTTTTTTAGTGTAAAGTAAATATTAAATGAGTGACTGTCACTCAAAATGTTATTTTTAATGTTTTCTCAAGCATTTCATTTTATGATTGTTATTTAATATCTCATTGCAGGCAGTAAAATGTAATGAAATTTTTCACAAGTTTTATCTTAAATTTGTAGTTACGTGTCAAGCAAATTGGGGCCAGGCTACTTCATTTCTTTGGCCTCTTATTTGATTCTTTATATAGTTGTTGGGAGATTTAAATGATATAATGAATGAGAAGTTCTCTGCTTAGGTTCTGGCATCATGTATTAAATACTCTGTTAGTCTCATTTGCATTACTATCTGTACTAACAAATAATAATTGCCTTTTTTGCATTAACGTTGCCTTTTACTTAATTTTTTTTTTCTTTTTAGCCACTGATCTGGTGCTGAGAAAGGTTATCAACTTTTCTGACTGTACAGTTTGTCTTGACAAACGAAATGCTAGTGGTAAAATAGAATTTTACCAGGATCCTCTGTTATACAAATGTTCCTTCAGGACACGTCTGCATTTTACGTATGATAACCTAAATTCCAAGATGCCGTCTGTTATTAAAGTAGGTGTTTCTTTTGCTACTTGGTTGGTTTGCATGTCTCCATTTTGTTTATTGGCTTTTGTGTTGCTAATTATTATTAAAAAGCAAAGAAGAAATTAACCTCAAATATATCATTTATTTTTGTAAAGTTTTATTTATATTTATAACTTTTATTTAATATTATTTACTATATTATGTATTATATTTATTTTTTTGGATTATGTGTTCTAGAACAACTATTTAAGGACCTTTTTCTTCTGTGACTGTGGTTTCCTTTTTGGTTTTCCAACTGTTTATTAGTATTTTTCTCTTAAGTAGGTAGAGGAGATCATATAAAAAAGTATTTTTATGCCCACAGTGGACTGCATATCAATCTACATATCAGTCCTTATAATTTGCTTAGCTTGTTCTGATAGGTGTTACTGTCTTTTGAATAAATGTGTAAGGCTTGATTTGTTAACTTGACATCTTATTGGTTCAGAAAACACTAGCTTTTGATCTGTGGTTTCAAAATGCAGTTAAAAAGAGTATGGGCACTTTCTAGGTAAGGTCTTTGACACATGTGCCTCTGTTGTTCTCCTAGGAGTGGTATGCATTTCAGTGTGTATAGTTAGTCTCGGTTGTGGATCTCTTCTTGTTCTTTGATTACGTAACAGCTTTCTAAACCTCTGCCTATTTATGTATCTTTTAAAAAGAATTCACACAGAGACTTGTGATCTTGTTAACTAAGTATTAATGTGAACTGAATTTTTGTTACTGAATTACATACCTCTGAATACTAAACTTTTGTAGTGCAAAAGTTGGCTCTACATCTGAACATTGGTATTGAGTACTGTGTGTGTTTGGATATGGTTGTATAAACTATTGTTTTTTTACATTAAATATATTTTATATGGTTCTGTGGTATTCAAACCTATATTTATACATTAAACCCACCTGTTTTTCTTTGGTAGTGCTCAGTCATGAATGTGCTACTTTTTTCCCCACTGTGTGTAGTACACCTTGATTTGTATAAATTCTGTTTCCTATTTTTGAATTATCTTCTTTCACAAAGATAACCATGGAAGAATATCTGTTCCATAGTATTGCTACTTTTGTCTCAGGATAATGGGCTTACTTTCCATCTTTAGCTTTGGATCTGCTAGTAGAGTTGGAGAATGTTAAGGTAGATACAGGATATATTTTGCAGATAAGTAATGGATACATGGGAGACTTACTATATGAATAATCTTACTGATCATTAGTACAAATTTAATTGTATATTCTTAGATGTAGCTAAATTAGAAGAAAAGTAAAAATAAATGAACTTGAGGAAAACTTAGTATTGGCACTTAAGTAAGTTTGTATTCTGAAAATTGATTAGCCATGACATTCCATTGTAAAACACTCCTTAATATAAATAAGCCTGTTGACGTGGGTTTTTTTTTTTTGACGTGGTCAAAAAAACCCCGGAGGTTCTTAAGTTGCTCTGGTAATCATTAAATGTGAGATAATGTGCTCAACTGAATAAAATTTTGAGCTTTTTATTAATATTATATATTGTGATGGAAGAGTTGTCATTTTGAATTAGACCCATCAGTCTTCCAGCTCCTAGTCCTAGGAAATATGTATTAAATGGACATGGTTGAACCTCACTGATCACCTCAAAAGGGATTTTCCAAAATGTTACCCATACTTAATGATTTGTGTAAGCCTCTTATGTATGTTTGTTTAAGTGACTTTAGAGTTTATTTATTAATTTGCTTTCTTTAGTAAGAAATAATTTATATGGGTATATAATTTATTTAACATTTCCCCCATTTTTAAAAATTGAAATTTTTAAAAAATATATATTTTATTGATTATGCTCTTATGGTTGTCCCATTTTTTTCCTCCCCTTTATTCCCCTCTGCCCTGTACCCCCTCTGCCACCATCATTCTCCCACCTTAATTCATGCCTATGGGTCATACATATAAGTTCTTTGGCTTCTCCATTTCCCCTACTATTCTAAAGCTCCCCTGTCTATTTTGTACCTACCATTTATGCCTCTTATTCCCTGTACATTTCCCCCATTGTCCCCCCTCCTTCTCCCTGCTGATAGCCCTTTATGTGCTCTCTATTTCTGTGAATCTGTTCCTGTTCTAGTTGTTTGCTTAGTTTGGTTGGTTGTTTTGTTTTTAGGTTCAGTTGTTGATAGTTGAGTTTGTCATTTTATTGTTCATATTTTTTATCTTCTTCTTTTCCTTAGATAAGTCCCTTTAACATTTCATATAATAATGGCTTGGTGAAGATGAACTCCTTTAACTTGACTTTAGCTGGGAAGCACTTTATCTGCTCTTCCATTCTAATTGATAGCTTTGCTGGATGGAGCAATCTGGGTTGTAGGTCCTTGCCTTTCATGAGTTTGAATACTTCTTTCCAGCCCCACCTTGCCTACAAGGTTTCTCTTGAGAAATCAGCTGACAGTCTTATGGGCATTCCTTTGTAGGTAACTGTCTCCTTTTCTGTTGCAGCTTTTAAGATTCTTTCCTTATCTTTAATCTTGGCTAATGTAATTATGATGTGCCTTGGTGTGTGCTTCCTTGGGTCCAATATCTTTGGGACTCTCTGAACTTCCTGGACTTCCTGGAAGTCTATTTCCTTCGCCAGATTGGGGAAGTTCTCCTTGATAATGTTTTTGAATAAATTTTCAATTTCTTGCTCTTCCTCTTCTCCTCTGGCACCCATATGATTTGGATGTTGGAACATTTAAGGTTGTCCCAGAGGTTCCTAAGTCACTCTTAATTTTTTTGAGTTCTTGTTTCTTCATTCTGTTCTGGTTGAATGTTTCTTTCTTCCTTTTGGTCCAAACTGTTGATTTGAGTCCTGATTTCCTTCCCTTCACTGTTGGTTCTCTGTATATTTTCCTTTATTTCATCTTGAATAGCCTTTACTTCTTCCTCTATTTTGTGACCATACTCAACCATTTCTGTGAGCATCCCGATTACCAGTGTTTTGAACTGTGCATCTGATAGGTTGGCTATCTCTTCATTGCTTAGTTCTATTTTTTCTAGAGCTTGGATCTGTTCTTTCATTTGGGCCATATTTTTTGTCTCGGTGCACCTGTTATGTAGTGAGGGGCGGAGCCTTAGGTATTCTCCAGGGTGGGACAACCTCTTCATTGTGGCGCTGTATGTGTGGGAGGGGTCAGAGGGAACAATGCCACTTGCTTGGCTCTCAGCCTGCTTTCAGTCACATTCCCTGCTACCGAGAAGTAAATTGGGCCCTTTTGGTGCTGATTCCTGGGGTGGGTGGGTTTGTGTACGTTCTAGGACCCTGTGGGTCTTTCCAGCAAACTCTCCTGTGAGGCTAGGAGTTTCTCCTGCTGCCTCAACCCCCATATGTTTTTCCAGTCAGAGGCTTTGAGGCTTTATTTCCCTGTGCTGGAACCCTGGGTTGCTCAGTCTGTCTTACTCCCCAGTTCCTCCAGGTTTTTCTGTATGCATATATAGGACTGCTTGCTCTGCCAGCCACCACCTTGCCTGCCCGGTCCTGTAGCTGCCACCTTGCCACACATCCTCTCCACCCAGGCTGTCCGTCTCTGCCCCTCTTACTTGTCTGGATGAATGTTTTTTCTTTAGCTCCTTTGTTGTCTGATTTCCATAGTTGGATTTTCTGGCAATTCAGGTTATTTTTTATTTTCAAATTTGTTGTCCTTCTTTTGGTTGTGGGAGGAGGCAAAGTATATCTACCTATGCTCTATATAAAGGGTTGATAAAGATTTGATTTTTTGTTTTCTCCTTTTTTTTAATCTCCCCTGAGAATAGGTTTTCATTGCTGTTAGAGAGAGAGGAAGGGGGTGAGAGAGAACGAGAGAGAAGTATTAGTATGAGAGAGAAATGTTGATTGGTTACCTTCTTGTATGTGCCTGACTGGGGATAGAACCTGCAACCTGGGTACGTGCCTTGATTGTAAATCGAACCTGCAACCTTTGGTCTATGGGACAATGCTCTAACCAAGTGAGCCTCACTGGCCAGGGCTAAAGGGTATTCTTTGTCATTGATTTTACAAAGATTGTTTATAACTGGTGCCATAACATATTTGAAATGATGTGGTAAAAATTAAAGATGGAACTGCCATGTGACCCAGCAGTTTGGCTTCTGGGTATTTTTCCAAAGAAACCCAAAGTACTAATTCAACATGTTATATGCACCCCTGTGTTCATTGCAGCATTAGTTACAATAGCCAAAATATGGAAGCAACCCATATGTCTATCAAGAGACAAGCAGGTAAAAAAGCAGTGGTACACTTATACAGTGGAATATTGCTGGGCCATAAAAAAGAATGCAATCTTTTCATTGTGACAACTTGGATGTACCTGGAAGGTAGTATGCTAAGTGAAATAAGTCAGACAGAAAAAGCCAAACATCGTATGATTTTGTTCCTTGTGGAATCTAAAGAACAAACTAAATGGACAAAATAGAAACCGACTCAGAAATGGAGAGAACAGACTGCAGGTTGCCAGAGAGGGGTGAGGGAGGATGGATGAAATGGTGAAGGGATTAGGAAGTACAAAATAGTCACAGGGATGTAAAGTTCAGCATAAGGGAATATAGTCAGTAATGTTGTAGTAACTAGGGATGGTGCCAGGTGGGTACTTGAATTGTCCAGGGGATCTCTTTGTAACTTATGCAAGTGTCTAATCATTATGCTGTACACCTGAAACTAATAATACCAGTGTCAGCTGTAACTGAAAAATAAAATAAGAAGGAATGATTATCAGAGAGATCCAAATTGAGGGATATTCAACAAAATACCTGTCTAGCACTCCTCAAAACTGTCATAGTCATTGGCAAACCAGAGAGGTCTGATAACCTGTCACAGACTGGAGGAGAGTAAAGAAGCGTGAGAACAAAATGCAAGGTTGTATCCAGAGACAGAGATAGGATGTTGGTGGAAAAACTAATGAAATCAGAATCAAGCATAGAATTTAGTTGATAGTAACGTATCCCTGGTGGTTTCTTAGTTGTGACAAAAGTACCATGTGGTGGCAGGATGTTAACAACAGGAGAACGGGATGCAGAGTCTAAAGGAACCCTCTGTACAACTGTGGTATTTTTTATAAGTTTAAAACTGGCTTATAATAAAAATTTTATTTTTAAAACATTTAAACAAAATAAAAGACTATGGTAGAGAAATCTGAAAAGAAGAACCTCACAGGTCTGTACTGCATACTCCTCCCCTCCTTTCTCTCCTGCTCCCCATTTTCTTACCTCCTCATGGTCTGTTTAGGGTATGATTTTTAGGTCAGTTTTAAGAAACCTGTACTCTTATTTGAATATGACATTTTATACCCTTCTCCCCAATACAGCTTTCTTCACCTCCAAGTACAACTTTTTTGTACCTTTAGCTCTAAAAATATGATTACCATTACTTGTTTTTCATGTTTCATAGACATTCAACTACCAATGAGTCAAAAAAAACCTTCTAAGAGACTTGACTTTATGGCTTAATTGGTTTTATTCCATGTTTATATAACAGCAGGAAGCCATTATACTGTGACTGTGTTTATATTCCATTGATGTCTGTTTCCATGGAGAGCTTTGATTGACTGCTACATATCCTATTTGCTAGGAAGTAATCTTATTTCTTATAATTGATTGATGTTATAAATTTGTCATGTTTATATCTCTTAAAATTTGAAAAACTTTTCCAAACATATTTCCTTAGGCTTTTTATATTTACCTATAAAAATTTTATTATGTTCAAACTTTCATAGTTATAGTTTAGTACTTTTCCCTTTTAATATATGTTTTTAGAATATATATGTGTTCTTGTTTGGCTAAATAAGCTGGGAAGAGTGATTAAAATCTTACTAAAATGATACCATGTAACTTGCATTCTTGGTTGTGACAGATCTTTCTGGTTTTGAGGGGGGTACTGTCATACTCTCAAGATTCTAGAGTAGGTACAGTGTTCCCTCCTTGTCTGCATTTTTGCCTTCCATGGTTTTGTTTACCTTCAGTTAACTGTGGCCCAAAAATAGGAAATGGAAAATTCTAGAAATAAACAGTTCATAAGATTTTTTCCTCAAAAATTTTTTGTTGAATTTTTTTGGGTGACATTGGTTAATAAAATTACATAGGTTTCAAGCAAAATAAACTGCCTTATTGACAGGCAACACTATGGTGATTACCAGAGGTAAAAGGGGTGGGGAGAGGAAGGAGAGGGTAAAGGTAGGATAAATGGTGATGGAAAGAGACTTGACTTGGGGTGGTGAACAATTCATAAGTTTTAAGTTGTGCACCATCTGACTAGCTTGATCAGATCTCACTCCTTGCTGTCCTGTCTTGCCCAGGATGTGAATCATCTCTTTGTCCAGTATGTTCTTGCTATATATGATTCCTGCCCATTAGTCACTTAGGAGCCCCCTTGGCTGTCATACTGACTGTTGTGGTAGTAGTGCGATGCATGTGTTCAAGTAACACATATTTTACCCTAAAGTGCAAGAGCAGTGATGCTGGCAATTTGGATAGGCCAAAGAGAGCCTTCAAGTGCTTCATGTAAGTGAAACAATATGTGTGTTTAGGGAAAAAATCATAGTTTATATAGGGTTCACTACTCTCTGAAATTTCAGGCACCCACTGGGGGTCTTGGAAGTAGTCTCTGCAGGTAAAGGGGGACCACTGTATTTTGGTTACATAACTGTCTTTCTGGAATAGTTACCTGCCAATCTAGTTTGAATGCATCTTTTTATTATTATTTCTATTTGTATTTACATCATTTGGCTTAATATAGGTTCTATCTAAAGTTTATTGATAGAGCAGAATTTGTTTAATTCCTAAGATTTTAGAATAAGATTTGAAATAAATATAGGAAATATTTGGGACATTACTGTTTCTCTTATGCTATTCCAATGAAGACTTTTAACATTTCTGTACTTACGTTAAAGGGTACACCCTTTGAACGTGATTTTGTTGATGTTTTTATTTTTCAAAATACAGATTCACACCTTAGTGGAGAGTTTGAAACTTTCTATCACAGATCAACAACTGCCTATGTTTATTCGTATAATGCAACTTGGGATTGCTCTGTACTATGGAGAAATAGGCAATTTTAAAGATGGAGAAATGGAAGAGTCTACATGTCACAATAAAGATATGTTGGGAAACATTACAGGTAAATATAATATGAACTTATTTTAGAACTATTCTTACAAAGTGTTTTCATAATTGTGAAACTTTAAAAAATACATTAGATTGAATTTTGCCATGTTCTAAGGTGGTGGGATAGTTTTAATTTGATTGTTTAACATTACTTGATTTTTTTATACATTCTGGATACTATTCTGATTTTTCTTGTTTCTGCATGCTAAAAATAACTTCAATATTTCTAATAGATAGAGGTGTTCAGAATGTATATTATACAAAAGGTAGTGTAACCTCAAGATTTCCTAGTTGATTATAGTAGTGGTAATTTTTTTTGTGAAGGCTCACCAAGAATAATTGTAACTGACTTGTATATGCTTAATTAATAATTTTATATGTAATTAATTATTAATTATATTTAACTATGTGCTTCATTGGAGGACACCTAATTAGTTGGAGCACTAATTAACAAAGTATTTGCTTCATTGAAGTATACCTAGTGGATTCACTTCAGTATTCAGCTCATTATTTCTTTACTGAAACCTGGGGTATATAAGACATTTTATTGTTAATGTGGGAAAATATTGAGCTGAAGGGATTTGTTTCCCTGTCTTAAAATCTTAAGGTATGATGGAGCAGACAGACATGTGAAGTTTGTTAAGTACAGTGCATGGTAGAATGATAGTGTGTTTGGTTAAATAGAGGTATGAGTATCTGAAGTGGAAATAATGATGAAAAGGACGATCAACTTTGACTTGGCATTGGGCCTGAGATGAGGAAAAATTTGGACAAGATCATTAATTCCCATAGATAGAGACTTTAGAAAAAGACATTTAAAACTTAGGACCAAATAATCCAATTTAAAAGCTGGGCAAATGACCAGAACAGACATTTATCCAAACAAATGGCCGAAGATGCTCAACATCATTAGCTACAAGGGAGAATGAAAGTCAAAACCACAATTAGATACCAATTCATAGCTAGTGGCATGGCTGCAGTGAGGTATGGGAACTCTGTACTATCTTTGCACCTTTTCTGTAAACCTAAAATTATGCCACAATAAAAAGGTAATAACATAAAAGACTCATAATAACAACTATTGGCAAAGATGTAGAGAAGTGGGAACCCCTATATGTTGCTGGTGGGAATGTAAAATGGTATAGTTGCTTTGGAATAATCTGGTTTCTCCAAAGGTTGAACGTAGTGTTACTATATGATCCAGCAAGTCTGTTCCTAGGAAAACTGACAGTGCGTGTCCACAGAAAAACTTGTATGTGAATGTTTATGTCAGCATGTCTTTGTTTCCAAAAAACTGGAAACAACCCATATGTCCATCAGCTATGGATGGACATTTATGGTATGTACACAATTATGGTGTATCCATACATTGGAATATTATTCAGCTATACAAAGGAATGAAATAGTGATATATCCTCAGTATAATTAACTGAAAAAATCTTTTAAAAAAGATTTTATTTATTTTTTAGAGAGGGGAAGAGCGGGAGAAAAAGAGGGAGAGAAACAATGTGTGGTTGCCTCGTGTGTGCTCCCTACTGGGGGCCTGGACCTCAACCCAGACATGTACCCTCAATGGGAATTGAACCAGCGACCCTTTGGTTCACATGCCAGCATCAATTCACTGAACCACACCAGCCAGAGAAAACTTGAAAAACATCTTAAGTGAAAGCAGCCAGTCAAAAATATATGTGTGATTCCATTTATATGAAATTCTACAATCAGCAAAACTAGTTTTTGGTTTCCTAAAAAATTAAGAACAGTGTTTTTTGGAGTAGAGGGGTAGCAGAAGTGACTGGAAAGGGCATGAGAAAACTTTCTGAGATGAATTCTTTTGTGAAATAATTCTTTCATTAAGAATAATAATGTTTACTTAAAAATATTTTTTTAATGAAGACTATTTTTTAGAGCAGTTTTGGCTTCATGGCAAAATTGAAGGGAAGGTATCGATATTTTCCATTTGCCCCTGCTCCCACACATGCATAGCTTCCACCATTATTGACATCCCTTCCAGAGTGGTATGTTTGTTGCAGTTGATGAGCCTACACAGACAGATCATTGTTGTCCAGAGTCCATAGGTTACGATTTACATTTAGTATGGTACATTCTGTGAGTTTGGGCAAATGTATAATGGCATGTGTCCATTATTATGATATCATACAGAGTATTTCCATGGCCCTAAAGCATAATATTTTTGGGATTCATCTGTGTTGTTTCATGTATCAGCAGTTCTTTCTTTTTTATTGCTGGATACATTATATGAATATATCATAGCTTAGTTAGTCACTTCCCTGTTGATGGATGCTTGGGCTATTTCTAATTTTGGCTACTACAAATAAAGCTGCTCTGGGCATTTTTCTTTACATTTCTTTTAGGCATGTGCTATTCTTTCTCTTGGATAAACACCTAAGAGTGCAATTGAATGTTTAGTTTTATTTTTAAGAAATGACCAGACATTTTTTCCAGAGTAGTTGTACCATTTTAATTCCTATCAACAACGTATGAGAGCTCCAGTTGTTCCACATCCTTGCCAACATTTGGTGGTGTCAGGCTTTTGTTACTTTTTACCATTCTTATGAATTGTGTTGTGGTGTCTTGTTTTAGTTTGCATTTCTCTGAGCATTTTGACCTTTTCATTTAGTGACTGTTATTAATACAACTATCTTTCTGAAGTGTATATTAAATTCTTGCCTATTTTTAAGCGTTTTTGGATTTTGTGACTGATTTGTAGGAGTTCTTTATATATTCTGAACTCAAGTCCTTTGTTACATATTATGTTTTGGGATTTTTTTTTTTTGCCAGTCTTTGACTTGCCTCATTCATATTTTAAAGGTGTCTCTTGAACAGAAGTTTTAAATACTGATTAAATGTAATTTTTAAATATTTCCTTTATGACAGTTGTTTTCTGTGATCTAAGAAGGTGACTAGGTTTTTCTTGTATGTAAAAAAGGAGAAAACAACTCGACTCTTTGCTTCCAGAGGAGTCTGAAGTAATTTTCTCATCTGTCTAAACCAGGGATCCTTAGCCTTATATTGTGTGTGCTGTGGATTCCTTTGACACTCTGGTAAAGCCTATGAGCCTCTTCTCAGAAGGTTTTAATCATCTTGATTTTGATATGCCTTAGTGTCATTTCTCCATTTTACTTGTGCTTGGAATAAATTAAAGTATTTAGATCTATGAGTTTATAGTTTTCACATATACTTAGAAAAATTTTTGATGTGATTTCTTTAAATATCTTTTTTCAGTTCCCCTCTTATTTAGGTCTCCAATTACACTTATTAGGCTACCTGAAGCGTGACAGAGCTCTTTGATGCTCTGTTCATATTTTTTTTTCTTTTTGCTTTTATTTTCTGTGTTTCATTTTTGATAGTTTTTGTTTCTGTTCGAGTTTACTTTTTCTGTATTTAATCTGCTACTAATCCCATCTAGTTTATGTTTCATCTCAGATACTGTATTTTTCATCTTTAGAAATTCAGTTTGGATTTTTAAAATCCCTGTCTTTCATATTTCTTCTTGTTTATGCTTTTTTGAATGTTTTATTTTATATATATAGCTGTTTTAAGATCCTTGTTTACTAATGCTGTGTCATTTCCAGCTCTTTTGATATTAACTGGCTGATTTTTTTCTCATTCTGCATTATATTTTCCTGCTCTTTACATACCTGGTGAAGTTTTTAATTGGATGTTAGATACTGTGAAATTTTCCTGTTGAATACTGGATAGTTTTGTGTCCTAGCAAACAGTTTAGTCACTTGGAAACACTGAGTTCCTTTAAGACTTGCTTTAAAGGTTTTTCAGATGCGATCAGAGCAGCCATTAGCTTAAGCCCAGCTTGGTCCCACTTTTGAGACAGTTACACTATTGAGTACTTTGTCTGATGCCCTGTGAATTGTTTTTTCTTTCTTACTGGTGGGAACACAAATTATTCCCAATTCTGTATAATCCTTGGGGATTTTTCCCTTTGCTCTTTTCTGTGGGATCTTTTTATGGCTTTAGTAGTTTTCGCACATGAAACTGGTTAATATTCAGAGTGGGATCCTTTGCAGATCTCAGGAGCTCTTTCCTTAGCAGGTCTTTCTTGTTTGGTTCTTGTCCCTGCAAACTGTAGCCACTTTAATCTCCCTGTACTCCCTGCCCTGTCTTATCATCTAAGGAGACAGCTGAGGTCTGCTTGAATGCCCACTTTCCTGGCTGTGACTTTAGAACTCATTCCAAGCAGTGAGCTGGAGGCATTCATAGAGCTTGTTCCTTGTTTCCCATCTCTCAGAACTCACTTGTCTTCATTGCCTGATATCTAGCATTGAAAACCATTGTTTCATACATTTTGTCTTTTTTGTTATATTTTATATGTGCTTCTATGTTAACATATTAAATAACAAAATATAATAGGAGATCTAATAACTATCATACTTAAAAAAGTAGTAATGTGTACATGTGATATTTTGAGATAGCTTCGCAATGTTATTTAATATAGCTGTGATTTCTATAGGTTTTAGAGTTGAAGGAATTGGTGATGCAATGGATTTACCTATGTTCCTAGATAAAAGAATGCTACATTTTAGTTACTTAATATATATGTTTCTATTGAAATTCATGGAGTTCCTGTCAAAGGGCCCCAGTTTAAGATGCTCTGTTTTGAAGGAAAAGGGTGAAAATTCTGACCAGAGATCAAGGAGATTTTTTTTTCTTTTTTCAGGTCTTATTCTTTTTATAGGTAGTGAACGAAGACTCAGAACTTCATATCTTTCATCAAAATCTCTCTTACTTTTGACTAATATTAGGTATAAATTTAGTGACTGGTTTCTCAGACTTTCTTAGAGACATTTTTTTCTTTTTTAATATATTTTATTGATTATGTTATTACAGTTGTCCCATTCCCCCCGCCCTGTTCCCCTCCTCCCTGCACACCCCCTTCCACCCACATTCTCCCCCTTTAGTTCATGTCCATGGGTCATACATGTTAGATCTTTGGCTTCTATATTTCCTATACTATTCTTAACCTACCCCTGTCTATTTTCTACCTACCATTTATGCTACTTATTCTCTGTACCTTTTCCCCCTCTCTCTCCCTCCCACTCCCCTGTTGCTAACCCTCCTTGTGATCTCCATTTCTGTGATTCTTTTCCTGTTCTAGTTGTCTGCTTAGTTTGTTTTTGTTTGTGTTTTAGGTGTGGTTGTTAATAACTGTGAGTTTGCTGTCATTTTACTGTTCATATTTTCTATTTTTCTTAGATAAGTCCCTTTAACATTTCATATAATAAGGGCTTGGTGATGATGAATTCCTTTAACTTGACCTTATCTGAGAAGCACTTTATCTGCCCTTCCATTCTAAATGAAAGCTTTGCTGGATAGAGCAATCTGGGATGTAGGTCCTTGCCTTTCATGAGTTTGAATACTTCTTTCCAGCCCCTCTTGCCTGCAAGGTCTCTTTTGAGAAATCAGCTGACAATTTGATGGGAACTCTTTCGTAGGTTACTGTCTCCTTATCTCTTGCTACTTCTAGGATTCTCTCCTTCGTTTTAATCTTGGCTAATGTAATTATGATGTGCCTTGGTGTGTTCCTCCTTGGGTCCAACTTCTTTGGGACTCTCTGAGCTTCCTGGACTTCCTGGAAGTCTATTTCCTTTCCAGATTGGGGAAGTTCTCCTTCGTTATTTGTTCAAATAAGTTTTCAATTTGTTGCTCTTTCTTTTTTCCTTCTTTCTTTTTTCCTCCCTATGATTGTGATGTGGGAACGTTTAAAGATGTCCTGGATGTTCCTAAGCCTCTCCTCATTTTTTTTGAATTCTTGTTTCTTCATTCTGTTCTGGTTGAATGTTTCTTTCTTCCTTCTGGTCCAAACTGTTGATTTAAGTCCTGGTTTCCTTCCCTTCACTGTTGGTTCCCTGTACATTTTCCTTTATTTCACTTAGCATAGCCTTCATTTCTTCATCTAATCTGTGACCATACTCAACCATTTCTGTGAGCATCCTGATTACCAGTGTTTTGAACTGTGCATCTGTTAGGTTGGTTATCTCTTTGTTGTATTTTTTGTGGAGCTTTGATTTGTTTTTTCATTTGGGCCATTTTTTTTTTTTTTAATCTCAGCGCACCTTTTACGTGGTAAGGAGCGGACCCTTAGGTGTTTACCAGGTGGGGCAACCCACATCGCTGTGTTGTGATGCTGTATGTGGGGGCAGGGTTTGAGAGGGAACCATGGCGCTTGCTCCGCTCTCTGCTGGATTTCAGTCACTTCCCCCACTTCCTACAAGCAAATTGGGCCCTTCTGGTGCTGACTCCTGGGTGGGTGGGCTTGTGTACATTCTAGGACCCTGTGGGTCTCTCCAACAAACTCTCCTGTAAGGTTGGGAGTTTCTCCTGCTGCCTCAACCCTCACCAATGTTCTCAGTCAGAGGCTTTGAGGCTTTATTTCCCTGTGCCGGAACCCTGGGTTTTGCTGTCTGTCTCCCTCCTGAGTTGTTCTTCCAGGTTTATCTGCCTGTGAACGTGGGACCGCCAGCTTTGCCAGCTGCTGCCTTGCCCGCCCTGGTCCTCTAGCCACCACTTTGCTGCGAGTCCTTTCCACCCGGTTGCCCATCTCCATCCCTCCTACCGGTCTGGATGAATGTTGTTCTTTAACTTCTTGGTTGTCAGACTTCCATACAGTTTGATTTTCTGTCAGTTCTGGTTGTTTTTTGTTTTTAAATAGTTGTTGTCCTTCTTTTGGTTGTGTGAGGAGGCACAATGTGTCTACGTATGCCTCCATCTTGGCCGGAAGTCCTTCTTAGAGACATTTATTTTTATTTCAAAAGACCAAGTGATGTATACTCCTGTTTTAATATTTTATACCAAAAGGTCAGCTCTGTGGACTCTACCTGGTCACAGCTTCCTGGGTTGTGGTGACCTGACTTCTTATAACCACAGTGATATTTAGTGGTGATGTCCAATTTGAGACCTCACAAGGAACAGCTAATAACAGGCTTTATTTATTCCCCAATGGAAATTTATATAATATTTGTGGTTAAACAGCAGGATATACATATTATGCAAAACATTTTCTGGATTTGTAACTTTTGTTATTTATTTTAAAGTAAAATGTGTAAGGTCTATTGGTACTATTTTAGGTATCCTAGTTTCTACTTACTAAGTCTTTTTCCTTTTAGATGAAAGCAGGTAAATGGCCATGTGTTGTAACTCATAAGTGTATAACATTCTGAGAGTCTCCTATCATAAGACTAAAAAAAATATGTAGTTTTTATAGCCAGAAAACCTAGAAGTTCAACTGCATGAGGATGATTTTAATGGAGTGCATGTATTATAGATTTATCAGCAAGGAGTTGATATGGTGAATATGATGGAGTCTGCATGCACCATGAATTTTTTAAAGAGTAATCTCCTCCCCAAATTCCATGATGATATGGCTGTTTTGTTTGTATTGTTAGAATAATGTTGAGAGACTTTGGTGGAATTTGTCATTACAAGCTGCAATAAGTTAAAGTGGTTGGAGTTTAAATCATTAGTCTGCTAATTTGTAAGGAAATAACAATTTTTTGTTATAATTTTTAATCTGTAGAATAATAAATATACTCAATTATGTCACCTACTAATAAGAGTCACCAACACTATTATTTGACTTAACTACATATAAGAATAATTTTATTACAATATTTACTTTCACTTTTTGGGATAATTTTTTTTTGAGGGTGTGCATTTTGCATAGGAATAATTGCCATTCTGTTTTTCCATTGTGTACATAAGGGAATCCAGAACTTTTCTTGTGGTTTTCTGATATTATATTTCTAGAAAAAGTCAGTTTTTTTAGTACTTTAGCTGTATTTTTGGGAAGTAGATTTTTTTGTTGTTGTTGCTTAATGAGTGAAATGCCAAAAAATGAATTTATTCACTGTATTTATCAAATTACATTGTGAACTACTTTCCACATAACATTAATTGTGGCCCATGAAAGGAGATTGACACAGTGCATAATATGCAAACTTGAAGGTGGTAATACTGAATTATTGCTTTAAAATACCAATAAGCAATGTATGATTTGTTCATACTTTATATGTAGAAAGAAGGATGTGGGATATACATTGTTATAGAATTTATCTTCTTAATTTTTGTTAGTTAAAATCTTTTGGTCTATTTTAAATGATTTTATTTTGATTGATAGGTGTTGAAGATGAAACTAGAATAGATATGTCGTATCCTGCTCAGTACAAAGGCCAAGAGTTGTATTCACAGCAAGAGGATGAACAGCCACAGGGATGGGTATCATGGGCCTGGTCATTTGTGCCTGCAATTGTGAGTTATGATGACGGTGAGGAAGACTACCTTGGGAACGATCCAACATCAACCATGCATCAGCAAAAAGCCCAGACTTTGAAGGATCCTATTGTTTCTATAGGATTTTATTGTACAAAGGCAACTGTGACTTTCAAAGTAGGTTCCTTTTTCTTGCTATTCATATCTCTCACAGCTTAATGCTTAAGTTTTGATTTCTAATAAGGATCTAGCTGAAAGTTTTACATTCACTAGATATAAGATATACTCTACCATTCTTACCTCATGTATGTATCCCCTTATCTGTAATCTCTGAATATTGATCTCTTCCTATCTTCCTAATGCCTTTTCCATTTTTTTTTTTAAATCAACTTCATGGAAAGTTTTTCTCTCCATTTAAAATTTTTTTTTTAAAGATTTTATTTATTTTTAGGGAGGGAAGGGAGGGAGGGAGAGAGAGAGAGAGAGAGAGAGAGAGAGAGAGAGAGAGAGAGAAACATCAATGTGCGGTTGCTGGGGGTTATGGCCTGCAACCCAGGAATGTACCCTAGCTGGGAATCGAACCTGGGACACTTTGGTTCCCAGCCTGCGCTCAATCCACTGAGCTACGCCAGCCAGGGCTTCCATACTAAATTTTTTAATTGACATACAAACATGCCTTAATATTTCCATTAAAAATGCACATAGATGTGCCATAGTTTTTTGATCCACTTATTTACTGATGGGCATTTTGGCTGCTTCCAGCACTTGGCTATTGTAAATAATACAGCTGTGAACTTTGGGGTGCATAGGTTCTTTTGAATTGGTGTTTCAGGATTCTTAGGGTGTAATCCCAGCAGTGGAATTGCCAGGTCAAAGGGTGTTCCATTTTTAGTTTTTTGAGAAAATTCCATACTGTTTTCCACAGTGGCTGCACCAATCTGTAATCCCACCAACAGTACATTAGGGTTCCCTTTTCTCCACAGCCTCTCCAGCACTTGTTGTTTGTTGAATTGTTTATAATGGCTATTCTGATTGGTGTGAAGTGGTATTTCATTGTGGTTTTAATTTGCATCTCTCTGATGGCTAGTGATGCTGTGCATCCTTTCACATGTCTCTGGACCCTTTGTATATCCTCCTTGGAGAAGTGCCTGTTCAGGTCCTTTGCCCATTTTTTAATTGGGTTGTTTGTCTTCCTGGTGTGGAGTCATGTGAGTTCTTTATAGGTTTGGGAGATCAAACCCATGTCTGAGGTATCATTTGCAAATACATTTCCTTATGCGGTTGGTTCCCTTTTCATTTTGCTGATGTTTTCTTTAGCCGTACAGAAGCTTTTTATTTTGATGAAGTCCCATTGGTTTATACTTTCCTTTATGTCCCTTGTGCTAGGAGATGTGTTGGTGTAAATACTACTGTGTGGAATATTTGACATAGTGGATGGGAAGAGGGGAAGGGTTGTTAGGAACATGTATTAAGGACACACATGGGCAAAGCCAAAGGGAGGTGGGGTTGGAGGTGGGGATAGCGGGGCTTGAGGGGAGTAGTGGGGGGAAATGGAGACAACTGTACTTGAACGTCAATAAAAAATGCACATAGATAATCTTACTTGAATTCATGTGCTCCTCTAGCTACAGTTTCATCTGTGTTCTCTTTTATTACAAAATTTCTTTTAAAGTGTTGTTTATATATAGTTTATCTCTTTCCCATCTCTCTTTCATTCTTTAAGACAATCCAGTTTTTTATCTTACTCTACTTTTAGCAGTGCTTTACATGCTTTGACCACTTTTTCCACTAAGATGTACGTGTAAAATATATTCAAAAGAGATTACACAATATGTATTTTCAAGTTAAAGAATAATAAAGTGAACACCCTTTTAAGAAATAAAAACTTATTTGTACTCTGGCACCCTTATGTGTTCTTCTTCGATTGCATTTTGTCTTCTCTGCTCCTAAAATATAACTTAACTTTAATGTATTTATTCCTCAACTTTTTATTATTGTATTGCCACATGTGCCATATTCTTTGGCAGTATCTAATTTATTCAACAATTACATGTTAACATCATCTATTTGCCAGGCACTGTTTAACTCTAGAGGTACCACAACAGATTATGCTTTTTAAAATTTAAATTGTTGTAAATAAGTGAAAATATATAATATGCCCTTTGATGATCAGGATTATGTAGAAAAATAAAGAGGGAAGAGAAATAGTGAATACTTCGACTATACTTGAGGGAATTTGCAATTTAAAACTGAGTGATGAGGGAAGGCCTAATAAGAAGGGGATACTTAAGGAAAGACCTGTGAAAGAGGGAGCTTTGTAGATCCTTGGGAATTCAAGGAATAGCAAGTGAAAATAACTCAGAAGTTCAAGGAACAGCAAAGAGGCCAGTGCAAAGTGAGCCAATGTGAAAGTAGTATGAAATCGGGTCAGAGAGGTAATGGGTGTGGGAGAGGTCCATAAATTATAATACTGCGTAAGTCATTCTAGGGTTTTGTCATTAATCCTGAGTGCGATAGGAAGTCTTTGGGCAATTTATAGTGGGTATAGAATGATCCGAGTTATAGTTTAAACTATATTACTCTGATTATAAGGGAACAAAAGCAGACAGAATTGCAATTTTCAAGCAAGACATTAATGATGGCTTTCACAAGGGTGGTGGCATGTGAGGATGGTGAAAAGTAATTGGATTTTGGATATTTAGAAGGTCAAGAGGACAGGACCTTCTGATAGATTTTATCATGAGACACAAATGAAGTGAATCCATGCATGGCTACTGAGCAACTGGAAGGGTTAAGTTCTGGTTTTCACAGACAAGGAGGACTGTGAGAGGGTGAGGTTTGGGAGAAATATCAGGAGTTTGGTTTTGGACAAGTTTAAAATGCCCACTGCATATTCAAGTAGAGCTCTCTGGTTAATTTACAGATCTGGTGTTGAGGTTAGAAGTTTGCTCTGAGTGTATAAATTTAAGAGTTTTAAAATTAGGATTTCAGTAAAGCTGGAATTAGTGTAGAGGGGAAAAAGGAGAGATTCTAGAACTAAGCTCTGAGGCAATTTGATGTTAAATATTTGGAAAGCTGAGGAAGAAATAGTGGGGAAAACTAAAAATAAGTGACCAGTGATGTAAGCAAAAAGCTACTAGAGTGTCTGCCTGGAAGCTAGGTGCCATAAATGTTTTAAAGTGAAGGGAGGAGGTCATTTGTGAGAGCAGATCATTGGATTTGTCAATGTGGAAATTGTTGGTGATGTTGACCAGAGCAGTGATTTGACACTGGTGGAATCTTAGTTGGAGTTAGTTAAAAACAAATGGGAGGAGTTAGTTAAAAACAAATGGGTGGGAATGTAAAATGATGCAGTCGCTGCGGAAAACAGTTTGACAGTTCCTCAATAAGTTAAACAGAATTATTATATGACCCAGCAATTTCACTCCTAGCTGTATCCTCAAAAGAATTGAAAGTGTACAGAACAAAAAAATAAATGAACATGAATGTTCATAAAAGCACTATTTACAATGGCCAAAAAGTTGAAACAACCCAAATGTCCTCAATAGATGAAGGAATAATATCCTTTTCAGGGAATCATGGATATTCTTTTTTGATGGTACACCAAACTCATTAAGTGGTAATTTTTAAAAAGTTATTTGTATCTCTAGCTCTTGGAAATTGCCTGGTACATATTCTACAAATAAATATCTGTTGAATAAATACATTCATCCATCATCTGCCCATCCATTCATCATCCATCCATCCATCCACCCACCCATCTCATCTGCTTTCCATCTTCCAAAATTTTTGGAATCCTCTTTTAGATTTTGTTATTTTTGTGCAATTTTATTTGTCTTTGTGGGTTGTTTTTTTTATGGAAGCATTTTCCAGAAGGAGATAAAACTCATGTGTCTAACCTGTGAAGTAGTATTACTAGTGATATTCCAGGCAAGTTGTTAGATACTTGAAATATAGCAGCAAAAAGCAAACAAACAAATAAGTTTTTGGTCTCATGGTATTCTTTTATTTTTTTTTATTTTAATCATTGTTCAAGTACAGTTTTCTCCCTTTTACTCCCAATCCAGCCCACCCACCCAACCCTCCCCACTTCCCTCCCATTACCACCCTCCCCCTAGTTTTTGTCTATGTGTCCTTTAAATTTGTTCCTGTAAACCCTTCCCATTCTCCCCTGAAATTCCCTCTTCTCTCCCCTCTGATCACTGTCAGCCTGTCCTCTATTTCAGTGTCTTTGGTTATATTTTGCTTGTTACTTTGTTTTGTTGTTTAGGTTCCTGTTAAAGGTGAGATCATATGGTATTTGTCTTTCACTGCTTGGCTTATTTCACTTAACATAATGCTTTCCAGCTCCATCCAAGCTGTTGCAAAGGGTAGGAGCTCCTTCTTTCTTTCTGCTGCATAGAATTCCATTGTGTAAATGTACCATAGTTTTTTGATCCATTCATTTACTGATTGGGCATCTAGGTTGCTTCCAGCACCTAGCTATTGTAAATTGTGCTGCTATGAACATTGTATTCTTTTAATTTAGCTTGAATTATTTGTTAACTACTTGCAATAAATTTTTCCAATCAGTAGTACAACTATACAGATTATAACTGTAGCAGATGGCAGGTTAAACTATTTTAAATAGTCTTTAGTAGTCTTTAAAGATTTTTGTAATTAAAATTATTTAGTATCCTCTAATATGACTCTGAAAAATACAGAGAATAAGTTCTAAAAAGTTTCATCATGGCTTCATTGGTTAAAAAATTTTTTTCTTTGCTAATAAAGTTTGGGTTAAAATGATAAAAATGCATACATTAGCTATACTGTTTTAATGTCATCATTTATTATTTTTGAATTCTTTTATTACTGAAAATTATTATTTTATATTATTATACATTTTAAAAAAGATTTTATTTATTTATAGACAGAGGGGAAGGGAGGGAGAAAGAGGGAGAGAAACATCAATGTGTGGTTGCCTCTCGTCCTTCCCACACTGGGGAACCTGGCCCGCAATCTGAACATGTGTCCTGACTGGGAATCAAACTGGTGACTCCTTGCTTCACAATCCAAAGCTCAGTCCACTGAGCCACACCAGCCAGGGCTTATTATACATTTTTTAATTGAAATTCACTGATTTACCTTTTTTGTTAATGTGTTCATTATAGATTTTAATTTTGTTATTTTAGTTGACTTCACCCACTTCCCTTTCTTTTCATTCCATTGTCTTTTCATCTCAGTTCAGCTTTCTTTTTGTATTTTTAAATACATGTACTTTTCCAATCACAGTTTACTTTCATTACTATGCTGCACCTAGCTTTAGACACAGAGCACAATGGCCTGACAACCATGTACTTCACAGGATGATCCCCCTGAAAACGTAGACAGCCACCTGGCCCCATACACAGTCACTACACCACCATTGACCATACTCCCCAGGCTGCAAACCACAGCCCTGGAAATCCACTGATTCACCTTTGTCTAAACTAAAGGAATAGGGATCAGTGGCTTTATTAAATGATAAAACAGTAAAATGACAAACTATAATAAAAAGCCAACTGTTGTTGTCAACTATTATTAGATATATGCCAGTTTTACGTGATCCAAATTAGGAAGTTATTTTTCATATAAGTTGGTGAGGGATGTTAAGGGTTGCTGGTAAAGCAGTGTCTTTTCTGGTGGGTTTTTTTTTCCTATATTAAATTTGAAATTATTTTGGTATATTTCTGGTAACTTCATGGATGAGAAGAATTGTATTAAACTGAGTCATTTATATATGAAATTTTAATAGACTTTTGGGGCAATGTTTGTCATTAGTTAATGCATCCTTTTAAAAATTTGCAACATTTATGTCTCTAAGGGAAATATGTTGATATTTAGGAGGAAAACATTAGAATTCATTGTTCAACATGGATTTGAAGAATGTATGGAATTAATTTGTGGTTCATATTTTGGGCAGAAAATAAGGTCATGTTTCTACATTAGCATTCTGAACAGTTGATATCAATCCAACAAAAATCATGCCAAATTAAATATAGCATTTTAAAAATAATGTTGAAAATTGTTCTTATAATGTTTGAGTCCTTTTAATCAATTAATTGCTTTTTTCTACAGTAATTGTAGACAGCTGAAAGGTGATCAAGTTTAAAATATTCAGTTTTACTTACTCATTTTAGATTATACGTAGAATTGTACTTGAAAGCAACATGTGTGTACCAGCTCTGAAAGCATCCAAGAAATAAGTAAAAAACTTTTTGTTACAAAATATGAGAATCATTAGTTGATTCACAATATAAACAGATTATCATACTTAAAAATGGTAACTTTTTGGCTCAATAAAATCTGTTTAAGTCAAACATGTTTTTTTCTGTTTAAATATATGTATGATCTTTGACTTTACATTTAAGTTTAAATAATAAAAATCCATTTAACAAAAATGAAGGCACTGAATCATTAGCAGTCATGGGCAGAATACTCTTTAAAAATTAAAATCTTTATTTGGAATAGTTTTAGATTTTCAGGAAAGTTGCAAAGGTGTGTACAGAGAGTTCACACATACTTCTTACACAGTCCTCTATTGTTAGCCTCTAATGTTTTCACAGTACATTTGTCAAACCTAGGAAACCAACATTAGTACATTACTGTTAAATTCCAGACTTTAATTGAATTTTATAATTTTTTTCCTGTTGCGTGATCTAAACCACGATACCATGTTGCATTTAGAAGTACTTTAAAAAATAATTTAAATTATCTAATTTTTGTATACATATAAACAATATGTTGTAAGCATCAGAGGAACAAGAATGTTTTTTTCTTTTGTCAGTATCTAGGTTAGTAGACACTCAGTATTTCTTACATGATTCAATGAGTCTGTGAGACATACTGTGAGACACGTATTTTGAAAGTAAACACCAATGAACCGATTTCCTTTACAGAACTAGAGTTTTTTTTTTAATCTATTTGTTTCCTTACAGCTTTCTTTTTGATTACTATTAGGGAGAAATCTTGGAAAATATTGAACTAAACCTGGTAAAATAATATTAGTGAATAGAAAATGAATTGAGGTTAAAGTATATGTAAAACGTTGGCAGAATGTATGAACCATTTTGTGATTGTGGGACCATTATAGATGCACAGCTTTCACCTTTTAATGCAATATTGTTAAGAAAAAGGAGTTAAATAAAAATAAGGCAGTGTTGGTATTTAAATTATCTATATGAACTTAGGCTAGCATATTCAACCTTTATACCATGGATAATCTGTTACAGCTGTTTCTGTTGCACCTGTTTTCCTGCTTAATAATTAAATTTCCCGAATCTTAAAATGGGCCTTGTTTTCATCAATTCATCATAATAATGACAATTTATTGCTATTTAATACTAATATGACTTACCTAATATTATTATATTGTTTCTTAGCTCACTGAAATGCAAGCTGAAAGTAGTTATTATAGTCCTCAAAAAGTAAAATCTAAAGAAGTATTGTGTTGGGAACAAGAAGGAACTACAGTTGAGGTAATCTTTCAACATTTAACGTACATTTTTAAAATCTTTTAATGGTTCTTAAATTAATATTTAATAAATATAGGTTTCAATCATATGTGATACATTCAAAATATATTTATAGTTTTATATTTTAGTGGTTGGTAGTATTAATCGAAACAATTATTTTTTTAACCAAGATTTTATGCAACATAAATCTATTTTTTCATTTTATGTGTGTGAACTCATATGTATGTGTACATGAATATTCATGAAGTGCCAGTCATTGAGATTACAAAGGTTTGAAGATACAAGGATAAGGAAGAAGTTTTTTACTTTGATAGAATTTATGATTTGAGGAGAATAAATTTGGAAAGGCCATAATCCTAAAGCTGTTTTGAATGATTAAGAAATTCTACAAGGCAAGCCTATAACATTTTTATGAAATTCAAGTTCTTAGTTCTAATGTTTCCTTTTCTCTTATAGGCCCTTATGATGGGAGAGCCTTTCTTTGATTGCCAGATCGGTTTTGTGGGTTGCAGAGCTGTGTGCCTTAAAGGAATTATGGGTATTAAAGATTTTGAAGAGAATATGAATAGGAATGAAACCGTAAGTCAGAGTCTTCCCTTGCCCTGCTTTTTTTGGAGAGAATGCAGGGATAATGAAGTGCTTATTGAAGTGTTTAACCATACCAAAAAATCTGTTAGACTACATATATCTTTGGCTTGACAGAGGAACTTTACTGTTTTTCCCTGTAAGAAATTATAGAGCTCAGGGGAATTGAGAAAGTTGGTAGCACTTAACACCTGGACAGTAGTTCCAAATACTTTCCAATTCATAAATGTTTCTGCTTTCTTGTTTATGGCAGCTACTTGGAGTTCCTTTTTGGTTTGTTAAAATATTCTTTGCCAAAATAGGCAGCGAAAATAGAGACAGCTTTCCTTGTCTTTTTACAGGACTTCAAGTTCTAGTGATTTCTATTGACTAGTAGTAAATGGGTGTTATAAAACCAAGGTTTTATTTTCTGAAATGGTCTAATGATTTTCCCTCCTGTTAATTTTTGCAATTATATTCAGGAAGCCTATTTCTTCATTTGTGGTGAAAATTTGAGTATGAAAGGTTTGACATACCTTACAAATTCACTGTTTGATTATCGAAGCCCAGAAAATAATGGTACTCGAGCAGAATTTATCTTGGATGCAGCTCATCATAAGGTCAGAGGATATATATTTGAGCCAAATTCTAGGCTGTGTTTGGGTGGACAGTTTATATGAATACTTGTTATTGCCATATTTCTTCTCAAATGAGGTATTGTGAATGCTGTTTGTTTATTGAAACATTTAGAGTGTGTTCATCCAGCTTTTATAGCTAGAGAAGTTTGAGGTGTTCAGAGGTTTCTATGTTTATATAGTACGGAGCCATAGTTAGTTTGTTTATCCATTCCCTACTGTTAAAATAGTCATGGAGGACACATGTAGGAGTATTTCCTTCAATTTCAGATACTTTTGAGTTTTGGGATTAATGGGGAGAGATGAAGCATTTCACATTTATATGTATGTCTCAGTATTGTTTAAAGTTTGTCTATATGATTATATCATAGTAGAATAAGTAATTTACATTGTAACTTTTTTCACTAAAGGTTTACTTTTATTGTTGAAAGAATTTAATTTTGACCTGCATAATTAACATACCTTTAAATATTTTAGTATATCTTTAGTGTTTACACTGTTTCTTATAGGTGCACTGAAATATTTAAGGATCAACTATTTGAGAGTGTACATTAGACAGTTTTGTGATGGTGATAAAAGTCGAGAGTGTACTGTCTTCCATTATAGGTACTCTTTAACTAGGCATTATTGATAGAGTGGTCAAAATGCCTAGTACAATTATGGATCCCTTTTTGTGTGGTCTGTAATTGAGGTAACATGACTTTTCTTAGGAGTGAATTCTTTGGATAACCTGTTTTTTTGTTTTGGTAATCCTTTGAGTTGATACGCTTTCTATGTAAGGATGTGTGTCTGATTATTGACTTTACAGATTTTAAATTCAAAAGTCTCTTGTATACAACACGTTTTCTGTTTGTCTTGCTTGGTTGGCAGGAGACATATACTGAGATAGCTGGAATGCAAAGGTTTGGAGCTTTCTACATGGATTACCTGTACACAATGGAGAGCAACAGTGGCAGAGGTATTGGTTTCCTTCTTTTATGTTTGCTTTTCCTCTGGCTTCATCAGAATCAGTTGGTTCTTGACTGGTTTTACTCTGTTACATTAGATTTACCTTGTATTACCTTGGGGAATGGTTGAATTTTAATGTCATGTTAATTTTCTTAGGTTCTTGACATTTTTAATCCTTTCTTTGTGAAGCTGATTGAAAAGATATTTTTTATAATCACCTAGAATTAGCTCTCATATGCAGCAAATATTAAAATTTTGATAAATTTCATATTACATAAACTTGTAAAAAAAGTGCATTTCCTTTTCTGTGTTAAATATATTTTGAAGGTATATAGATCTTTTTATTTAAAAAAGAGCTCATTATTTGAAGCAGAAAACTAGCAATAAATTCTTATAGAACACATAGTGTTTTATTATTTTATTGTTTTTTATTTTTATTCTAATTTTATTATGTTAGCAATCAAATATTTTTTAGTAATCAAATGTTTTTGAAAATTGGATATTTTATGTGCATATCACCATATCATGTTGTGCTTATTATTCCAGTCTTTTTCATGTTGAAAGTTTAGTAAAAACAGGTTCACCATGGTTTTGGTTAATTTTTCATATTCAAAAAGTGATTTCTATCTATTCAATGATAAGTTAGATAATGCAAATGCAAAGAAGACCAAAACATTTCTCAAGAAACTAATAGGTAGTATATTAACTATGCACTTAAATAAATTATTATAATATATCATATTAAGAACAATATTGTCCCTGGCTGGCGTAGCTCAGTGGACTGAGCACGGGCTGGGAACCAAAGTGTCCCAGGTTCGATTCCCAGCCAGGGTACATTCCTGGGTTGCAGGCCATAACCCCCAGCAACCGCACATTGATCTCTCTCTCTCTCTCTCTCCCCCTCCCTCCCTAAAAAAAATAAATAAATAAAAAAATATTAAAAAAAAAAGAATAATCCTCAAATTTAAAAAAAAAAAAGAACAATATTGTAAATTAAGAGAGATCCACGAAAGAAAGTGACTACTTTTGTCGTGGGATTGAAGATTTCACAGAGGAGTTGATTTTGAAGAATTATTAAGTTTCGTTAGATGAAACCAGAAGGACAGAGTGCTAATTTTCTGCTTCTTCTTTCCTTCCTAAATGTTCATGTTCTCATTGTTCTCATTTTTGAATTCACTTCTTTTCCTAAACTCTCTCGGAAATAATCTCATTCTTTTCCATAGATTTAAGTATATGTTATTGATATACCCATATTGTATTTTTCATCCAGAGTCCTTTTTTTTCTCAGTTTTATTTTGCATTTTTTTGAAGGGTGCAGCTCAGTGGATAGACAAAGATATCCTTTGCATGGTTTCCCTTCTTTAAGATTTAGAATTTAATATCCAATATATACTTGATGTTTTCATTTCTGTGTCTCAAAATAGAATATGTCCAAAATTGAATTATTAATATCTGTACCACCTACTACCTCTGTTTCTCCCATATTTTTTGTCTTCTGTCTCTTTTTAAAAAGATTTTATTTATTTATTTTTAGACAGTGGGGAAGGGAGGGAGAAAGAGAAGGAGAGAAGAACCAGTGAGTGGTTGCCTTTCATGCACCCCCTACTGGGGACCTGGCCTACAAGCCAGACATGTGCCCTTACTGGGAATCGAACCAAGTCACCCTTTGGTTTGCAGGTCAGCGCTCAATCCACTGAGTCACACTAAGCTAGGATGGTTTTTCTTCTTGGAAAATGATTCTGTAATAAAAGAAAAAATGGAGGTTTGGCTGCCTATCACCAGAAAAGCCAAACTTGTGAGGCAGATGCAGGTGCAAAAGGAGAAGGAAGTTTTATTCAGTTGCAGTGTGACCTGGGAGAATGGTGGACTCCTGTTGCAAAGTCCTTTTCCTCTTTCTGTCATGGAAAAGTCCAGTTGTCCTCAGCAAGGCCAAGACAAATGCCGGTATCTAGAGTTCCTGCTCCATTTTAAACTAGAGTCCTTTGGAGCCCTTAGGCAGCTGCTAAGTGGTTTTAGTACCCATCCAGGTACCTTAGGTTGTTCCCAGCTGCCTCCTGGAGCCTGGATGTGGAGCACACATGACCAGGGGCCATGTGGCTGCCTGGGCTTCATGGTAACATGCTCCTGGGTGAGAGAGTGTACGGGCAAGTGCATCACCAGGTGAGCAAGAGAGACAGAGGGGGACCCTCGTGGAGGCCATGTCCATGTGTCTGCTAAGGCCATGTGGCCCATGAAGAAAACAGGCAGGAACACTCTGCAAATGCAGGTTATGAGCCAGAGAAGGAGAGAGAGAGGGAGAAAGCTTCCTTGTTCCCCTGTGATTGTATGTAGGTGTGAGATTGACCAGGTGCTTTCTTAAAATGACCAATCAACTTCTCAAACCTTTGCATGCTTCAGTGGGCCCACCTTATGACCAATCTCTTCTTTTCCCAGTCTAGACTGGCAGGCTTCTTTGGTCTTGAGCCTCCCCCTGCACCATTTTGACTTTTATGGTGCATATGCTTGTCTTCTCCTGTCCTTCCCCACCACACACACACATCTGGTACTGAAGGTAGGGGGAGGGCTTCTATCCAACTATCTTGCTAGCTTTTTGTGTGTGCAGTGTAAGACCTTTCCCCTGCCACCATTTTGGCCGATGGAGGACACTCCCTGGCATTCTGACTGTTTCACTGTAACAGTTCTACCATCTTCTAGTTGTTCAAGCCAGAAACCTGGGAATCATCATTCTTATCATCCAGTCCATTAGCATATTTTGTGAAATTTTATCTCCAGATTCTTTCTAGAATTCATTCACTTCTCTTAAGCTTCTCTGTTACCACTCTCATCCAGTGTACTGTTATGTTTAGATTCAAATAGCTTTTTTTGACTGGCTTTCTGTTTCCACTCTTACCATCCTATAATCCATACTGCACTGGTTTTGGTGTAATTCTTGAGTTTAAAATCCTCCCTGCCTTCCAATGGCTTTATTTCAAAATAAAACATAAACAGTTTATCAAATTTTGATCTTGAATTAATTACTTCTTGGATAGCGATAATCACTAAGGAAGATAAAGACAAGAAAAGAGATTTGTAGAGGAAAAGATATGTTTTGAGGACTCGTGGACATTGAAATAGAGATGTTCAGTAGCCAATTAGGTATGTGAAAAGTGCAACTTAGAAGTTTATGTTCTAAGAACTTTGCAAATTGTTATAGCATTGTAGTTGCCAAATGTAAGCTGGTGGGTTTCTTCTTGTTCATTATGATGTATGTGTATGTGCTATGGATCCAGTATCTTGTGAGGAGGTGGAGAATGAAGTAGTTACTTTTCAAGTAAAGGAAACCTATGCTGAACATTTTGTTATTTGTATAGCTGCTGCTACTACAGTATTTAAAAAGATAGAAATATGATTTATATTTGCTAGGATGTTTATATATTTTCTGTCTGAGAAGCTGGTAGTTTGCTTACTTTTATATTTTTTATGTTTTCTATTTCTGTGACTTAGAATACAATGTTATAAATATCTGAATCTTTAACTTTTTTAAAAAACAAAATATTAGACTATAACATACAAACTGAAAAGTTCTGTACATTTATGTACAGAATAGCAAAGAAATATAAAGTTAACAACTGCGTCTTGCCCACACAAGCCAAGGAACAGGATGAGCCTCCTGTGTGTGTTGGGGCATGTGTGTGCCTTCTGCAGCACACTCTTCTTACTGCCTCACTGTAGGAGACTGCTGTTATGCAACTTATGCAATTACTTTCTTGCTTTTGTCTTACCACTCACACATGTACTTTCTCAGTTGTGTAAGCAAATAATTCCACTGTTAATTTAAGCTGTGAATGCCACAGGTACTTTCAAAATGTTTTTATTCATTCACCCAGTAATCTATTTATTCCTTGTGTGCTTTTACATAGTTGTGTTTATAAGTTTGCTTCTCTTTATGCATCTGTATTTGCTTAGAATACAGTGATGGTGATGATGTGTTAATATAAGCTAATATTTACTGAGTGATTTTAAGGGGTATAAGGTGCTATTCTAAGTGTTTTATATATATTAACTTCATTCTTGGTAGTAACCCTATAAGGTGGATAATATTATCCCAATTTTACTGATGAGGAAATAGCTAGTTCTTACAGATGACCAACTTGGCTAAGATCACACATAACACCTTTATGTGGGATTTGAACTCAGCTAGTCTAATTCTACAACCTGCATTTATGACTGCTATGTTCAGACTTTCTTCTTTCTTGGATTACTTGAAATAAGAAATTTTTGAATGTTTAGTATTTATGAACCTAAGAAAAATATTTTTAATTTTTACAAGAGGACAATTTTAAATATTTTACAGAAATATTTTATCTAATATTCTTGCTTTGTTGTGACTTGACATTTTTTTTATAGTGTAAATGATTGAAAAGTGACCTAAATTTTACCTAAATGTCTAAATGCATGTCAGGCTGCAATTTTACAAACTTTGTAGTGAATTCTGAAATTCTGAAAACAGATATGATTGGTGTGTTTTAAGTAATATCTGATTGTATTCTAATTAATGTAAGAAACTAGTAAATGCAGTAAGAAAAAGAGCATAGATTATTATTTATTTGTGTTGTGGAAAATGATGTAGTATTATTTTACCTACATTCTAAAATGGCATGTAAATCAGAATTCAGTTAGTAAATTTCCTTTGCTACTGTTTGATAGTGATAAGCATCTTCTGACAGTTATTTTGTTTTAGTTATGCTGATTGAGAGCAATGAAACATTTTAAAAAATAAATTGAAACATTTCTTAATACTATAACTATTTAAATACTGCTGTTGTCATACTACTGTCTTTCAGGTGTTTTTTACTTACGAAGTTATTGCAAACTTTTGTTGACTTAGATGGCTGAAAATGTAACATACAACAGGAAGATTTTACAGACATAGAGATAAAATGGAAACAATTCAGTTATTGGATTGAGGAAAAGGATGAGAGAAAAATATGGTTTATTACCCTTTAGAATCTACATGTCTTGAGAGAGTTGTTGGTATTAATTTAGGGGGATTCTGAAAGAATAATTCTTGATCCCTACATTATTGTATATAAGGCTTAATTTTTTAGTTTCTGGGGTAGAGCTAAAACAGGCTTTCTCCCTTAGAGGTATGGGGGGTTATTTGTTTTTTTAATTGTATTTTTCAATTACCATTTAGTCCCCTTATACCCACCTCCCTGTAGCAGTGACCACACTGCTGTCCATGTCCATGAGTCCTTTTTCCATTTTGCTCATCCTGCCACCCCCTAACCTCTCTCACTTCTTAGCTGTCATCCTGCTCTGTGTCTATGAGTCAGTCTCTATTTTGCTTCTTAGCTCAGATTGTTCATTAGATTCCACATATCAGTGAAATCATAGAGTATTTGTCTTTTTCTGCCTGGTGTATTTCACTTAGCATAATGTTCTCCAGGTCCATACATGCTGTTGCAAAGGGTAAAACTTTTTCTTTTTTACAGCTGAGTATATTCCATTGTGTAAATGTTCCATAGTTTTATCCACTCATGTACTGATGGACACTTGGGCTGCTTCCATATCTTGATGATTGTAAATAAAGCTGCAATGAACATGAGGGTGCTATTGTTCTTTTGAACTACTGTTTTGGGTTCCTTTAGGTATATTTTCAGAAGTGGGATTGCTGGGTCAAAAGGCAGATCCATTTTTAACTTTTTGAGCTATCTCCATACTACTTTCCACAGTGGCTGCACCAATCTGCATTCCCACCAGCAGTGCAAAATGGTTCCCCTTTCTCTAAATCCTCACCATCACTTGTTTGTTGATTTATTGATGATAGCCATTCTGACAGGTGTAAGGTGATATACCTCATTGTGGTTTTAATTTGCTTTTCTCTGATGATTAGTGACGTTGATCGTCTTTTCATATGTCTGTTGGCCATCTGTATGTCCTCTTTGGAGAAGTGTCTATTCTGGTTCTTTGCCCATTTTTTAATTGGGTTGTTTGTTTATTTGGTGTTGAGTTTGTAAGTTCTTTATAAATTTTGGATATCAACCCCTTATCAGGTGTATTGGTGAAACTATTCTCCCATTCTGTGGGCTATCTTTTCATGCTGTTGAGTATCCTTATAATCATTACTCTAAACTCTATCTGATAAATTGCTTGCCTCCATTTTATCTAGTTCTTGTTTTGGAGAATACCCTTGTTCTTTCATTTGGGGTCTGTTTCTTTGCCTTCCCATTTTGGCTGCTTCTTGGTATTTGTTTCTATGTGTTAGGTAGATCTGCAAGACTGCTGCATGTCTAAGTCAAACCCTGCCTGTGACTGGCGTTGGGCAACTGGGTTGGAGCTATCAGTGATCCACCGCGTGTGGCTCCCTCTGCTGGGCCTGGGTTTGTGCAGAAAGAACCAGGCTGCACACCAAGGACTGCTTTTACCAGCACCAGGCCTAGGGGCAGGTCAGCTGAAGCCTCATAGCTTCCAGCAATCCGCCTCTGTCTGCAGGCTTTCTGCAGGGTTAAAGAGTGAAAGTCTTCCAGTTGTACTCCTCAGTAGCAGGACTTAAGCACAAACAGGGTGGGGCAGAGTAATTCCTGCCAGTGGGGCTTTTGCTTCCCCTCAGGCAGATGCCACTTGGAGAGGATTGCTCTGCCCAAGGATCCTCTGTCTGCAGTATGGGAATGATTCAGCATAGGGATCCTGGCAGGTGTTCCTTCAGCTGTTTTCCCCAGAGCCACCAGCCCCACACTCTCCTCCAGCATCTCTAGTCCACCCTGCCCTTGCTCTGTCAGAGGCCAGGGTAAGTAGTAGTAAATGGAATTTTGTGTGTTGGCCCCTTAGGTGGCTCTGTGTCTCTCCTTGGCAGACAGAAACCCTGCTGCTTTTCACATTCGTATGTATTTGGGTTCTTTTCCCAGTTTTGTTGCTGTAGCCTGGGGAGCTCAGCTTGGGGTTTAGACCCCAGACTTCTCAAGGGAAACATCTGGCCTTCTTACAAAAAAGGGTCTTTTTACAAAGTCACATTTCTGTGGAAAGCCTAATAATTCTACAGGACTCAAAGCAAGACATTTTCCTTATTTCAAGTATTATGATATGTAACCATAGTCCTTCTGGTTGTCTTCAAGTTACCCCATCCTAAGAGGTAACTCTGGAAATGCTTGGTTTAGCTATGGAAAATAATGCTTTTTTTAATGTGAATGATATGTTATTTATACCTAATTTTCAGTGTGACTCAGTTTTATTTATATATATCTTAAAATATGTGTAAGATTAACTGTATGCCTTGATGTAACATTTAAGTCTGTGAATTAAGAATACATAAATAATTCATTTTGTCAATGGTACTGGAGACAACTGAACTCCTTTGTTTGAAATGAAGAAAATGCATTTTTGAAAAAGTTATTAGAAGGTGTAGATATGGAATTTTTGCATTTTATTGGGCCTTCCTATATTCTCAAGGTGTTAAATGCTAGAAGCCTTGTTTTCCTCTTTTTGTTTAAATAAACAAAATGGCTTAAAAGTTACTGTATATTGTTAGTTATAATAGTCAATTTATATGTAAAACCAAATCTCTAATATAAGAAGTATACATACTAGATAAGGAGAAATAACTGTAGGTAGAGCCAAATGTTTTTAGAATGCAGCTTGGTTCTTTTCTTTTAAAGCTTTATATATTTTATTTATTTATTTATTTTAAAAAAGATTTTATTTATTTATTTTTAGAGAGGGAAGGGAGGGAGAAAGAGAGAGAGAGAAACATCAATGTGAGGTTGCTGGGGGCTGTGGCCTGCAACCCAGGCATGTGCCCTGACTGGGAATCAAACCTGCGATGCTTTGGTTCGCAGCCCGCGCTCAATCCACTGAGCTACGCCAGCCAGGGCATATTTTTGTAAAATTTTTATTCTCTTTCAAAGACATTTAAAAATATATTTATTTATTTTTGGAGAGGGAAAGGGAAAGGGAAAGAGAAAATGAGGGAGAGAAACATCGATGTGTGAGCATTGATCTGTTGCCTGTCACATACCCCCAATACAGGATCTGGCCTGCAGGCCAGGTTTGTGCCCTGACTGGGAACTGAACTGGTGGTCTTTCTGGTGTGTGGGATGATGCCCAACCCACACCACACCAGTCAGGGCCTTGGTTCCTCTTTAGTATGTGGGCAGGAAAGTTATTGAGGACCTTAGTTTCTGTACCAAGGAGCTTGGCCATAATAGTTTTATTTTGGAAAGAGTTCAGACAGTTAAAATGTAATGTTCACTTCCATGATCATTATAAAACTAATTTTAAACCATCTAATTTTCAGTGAAACTCTTAGATGAAATAGTGGTAAAATGCAACTTCTTCCAGTCCCCCTTCCCAGTCAACATAGGTTTATTGGACATAAATAATTAGATTTTAGAGAATAATTTTCTATGAATGACCAATTAAATTTTATAGACTTCTTATAATAGAAATAGATATCAGAAATAATTTTTTCGACTCAGTTTTTTAGTGATAACATCTTTTCAGCTGCGTAGAGAAAATTACAGATCAGCAAGTTTCTTTATATGCAGCTGATGAAGAATTGGTTTTAAGGCATTAAACTATAAGCTAAAAAGATAAGAGAAATATTAAAACATATACTTGGTATATTTGATGCTGAAATATTAATATGCAATTTGACTTCTTTTAGGTTCTATAAATCAGCAAGACTTTTCTTTAGGGAAAAGTGAAGATTTGGGAACAGTTCAGGAGAAGTCTACCAAAAGCCTTGTCATAGGACCTCTTGATTTTCGCCTGGATAGCAGTGCAATACATAGAATTTTGAAGATGATTGTTTGTGCCTTGGAACATGAATATGAGCCATATAACAGGCTGAAACCAGGTTTGTTTTTGTCTTAAATTTGATTCTCTTGCCAGTTGACTTGAATAAGTATATAATTAAATTTGTTGTATTTTGTTAACTTACCCTTTTTAGTAAATTTTGCTTATTTGACTTCCATGTATTTTGTTGTTAATTTAAAGAATAAAGTTGTGGTAGATGGGAGAGGTCAATATTTAGGCATAAATACTTATTTACCAGTATTTGTCAGTATTTTATTTACACATTTTTGATATTCTTTCCCGGGAATACTCTTGAAATATGACATTATTCTATGTTACTGAATTCTTAAGAGCAGGCATGAAGATATTTTGTAAACATACTAATTTAACAAGAAAACTTAGGTCTTACTGGTAAAAAAGAACTTGTTCTACAACAAAATTTTTCTACATGGTATGAAGGTGTGGTCATCAGTTACATAAAATACAGGTTCCTTTTTTATGTAATAAAGTACTCTAGAGTAGGGCATCATAGCACAAGGGAGTAAAGGATAGTAGGAAAATCAGCCTATGGGGTCAGACTGTGGTTTGAATTCTTACTCCCACTTATTCTTGACCTTAGGAAATTTAATTTACGCTACTGATTTTTCATTTCTCTTTGCCTGTCATTAATTTGATTATGTGACAGGTGGTTAAATTGTCTTGTCAATATCCATTCTCCTGTTATTTTATAGTAACAGGAATTTATGTGATATAGATTTTTATGATAGAAATAAAATATAGTCATATGACTTGGTTCTACTTATTGAGATGGGTCCAAAACTTAATGTAAATTCTAGGCCATAATTGTAAAAGACAAATAGCATGCTTTCCCCCCGTTCTTTCCCCCTTCTGGCTGGAAATCAATTATAATGGCAGGAATTCTTGCTGTCATCTTAGATTCTGTGATGAAAGCTGCATGCTGAGTATGACAGAGCAATAAGATAGAGATCTTCGTAGTGTGGTAGCACCATGCCAACTCCTACCCTTTAGACTCAAATTGCTGTTTGAAAGAGAAGTAAACTTTTTTTTTTTTTAAAGATTGTATTTATTTATTTTTAGAGAGGGAAGGGAGGGAGATAGAGAGAGAGAGAGAGAAACATCAATGTGTGGTTGCTGGGGGTCATGGCCTGCAACCCAGGCATGTACCCTGACTGGGAATCGAACCTGCGACACTTTGGTTCGCAGCCCGCGCTCAATCCACTGAGCTACGCCAGCCAGGGCGAGAGAAGTAAACTTCTGCTTTTGTTGAAGCTTCTGTTATTTTACTTTTATCACAGCATATTTGCTATTATCTGCAATGATACACCAATAGGACTTACTTCCAGAGATTAGTGCATGTAAAAGCATGTGCCACAGTGTATTACTACTATTAGCTGACCTTAGTTTTGTGTATAGGCAGTTCTCACTTCTCCTGGCAGGTAAAGACCATAAAAATAAGCGAGCTGAAATCATGCACAGGGACAGAGTAGTTGTCCCACACTTAGTTTTGTCAAGACAATAGAAACTTTCTTATTCTTGGTATAAATGTATATAGAAATGAAAAAATAGTCAAAGGAATAGTAAAAATTAAGGATTTTATTTCTTTTTGAAAACTTAGTAAGAGTAGTTTGAACAGTGGTTGTCTCTTTCCCATCATGTAACTTACACTACGTTGTGTCTCTATGTCATGGCAAATTGATATACTCCTGAGTTTGGACTAGAGTCCTACGTTTTATCCTGTACACATCAAAGTAGTGAAAACCTCTAAGAGTTCCTTTAACAGAAAGTATTTTGCTTATGTCACTTCATCTGGGACATTTTCATTTTTTTTTATCATAATCATTCTTCATCTTTATTGGTAAGGTAGTCTTCACTAAGCTTCCTTAGCTGCATGTCTTGAGTCTCTCCCAGGGTGCAGTGTTTCTATTTCCCATGGTCACCTATTCTGTAATGCCAGTAATGTTTGATTAGAACTTCAGTTCCAGCATGATGGGTTTTTGTTTCTTTGCTGCACTTTCATCTTTGATTGCCTGTTCTCTGTTTCAGTTATCTAGTTTTATAAAATGTCATGTGGGTTTATCACCAGTGATCACCAATCAAGGAGGCAGTACAACCACATGCTTTGCTATCTATCTGTGCATGAGCTAAATATAAGAAATACCAGTAACTAGTACCCAAACCTGACAAACTTAGAGAAGAAGTGACATGATTGGTCACCGATCATGATGTTCACTTCTTATTTATGTAATGATATGTGGGCTGAACAACAAGAAGTAATGAAGTTTGTACTTAATGCAGTTAGTTACAGTTATTATACTGAGGTAACTGACATTTGAACTGCGCTTTTGGGAACTGGCATTTTTAAACAAATCGTGTATATCAGAATTGTGCAAAGTGAGGGCTTCCTGCACATACATACAGGGGTGGGTAAAAGTAGGTTTACAGTTTTGAATATGCAAAACAGAGTTTATCTAGCTATTGTAATAATCATAACCTGCATATCTTTTTACATACGAACAACTGTAATCCTACTTTTGCCCAACCCTGTGTATCCATTTATACGAGTGCAGCTGTATTAATCATAAGTAGTTCAGTTCTACTGTACTGTTTTTGTAGCTGTTATTGAAGTACAAGATAAATAAATACTGGAAAGCACATAAAACCTAAGGGTATATATAGTTCTGTGAATTTTGCAAACATAACCACATTTATGTTAATTGTTCAAGACATGGAAGTGTACCAGCACTCCAGAAGTCCCTTTGTGCCCTCTTCTGGTTACTACTCCAACCCCAGGGGTAACTAACCATTTTCTTGACTTCTAACATCATAGATTCAGCTTCCTTTATTTTAGAATTCATGTAAATGGAATCATAGTATGTACTCTTTTGTCTCTGGCTTTAGCTTACATTATGTTTATGAGATTTCCGTTGTGTGAACATACCATAACTTACTTATCCATTTTACTGTTAGTATTCGGTGAGTTTCTAGTTTTTGGTTATTATGATACTTAGGCCAAAAACATTCTAGTACATGCCTTTTGCTAAACATATGTACTAATTTTTGTTGGTTATTTGAGAGTGGAAACACTTAGATAAAAGGATTGTACATCTTCACCAGCAGTAGGTATTTCCGAACTGTTTTCTGAGGTGGTTGAGTTACTTTCCACTACTGCCCACAGTGTAAGAGAGTTTTAGTTGCTCTTGATCAGGTCATTGGCATACTGTGACTTTCTGCTTTTTTTTGTACAGCTCATGAGCTGATAATGGGTTTCTCATTTTAAGTAGTTGGAGAAAAATACAAAGAATCATATTTTGTGAGACCTGAAAACTATATGAAGTTTGATTTTCATTTTTCATAGGTAAAGTTTTATTGGAACATAGTCATGCATGCTCATTCAGTTATGTATTGTCTGTGGCTACTTTTTTGTACTGCAGTGGCAGGGTTGAGTGTGACATAGACTCTATGGCCTACAAAGCCTAATATATGTTCTGTATGGCTCTTTAGAAAAGTTGGTCTTCATGCTTACTAGCACGTAGTGTTCTTAGTCTTTTTTAAAAATTTTATTTTAATTGTTGTTCAAGTACAGTTTTCTTACCTTTTTTTAAAAACCATTCCAGTGGTTCTGTAGTTCTATTACATTGTGACTTTATTTGCAGTTACCTGATGCCTAATGATGTTAACTAGCTTTTGATAGGATTTTTGGCCATTTGGATATATTGTCTTTTGCTCATTCAAGGCTTTTCTTGGGCCATTTTTCTGTTGAACTGTTTGTTTCTTACTGATTTTCAGGGGGCTTAATTTTTTTTATGCTGTGGGTACAAGTCCTTTGTGGAGAGAGTTACATCTATCTATGTATCTGTCTATTTATGGCAAATATTTTCTTCTAGCCTGTGGCTTGCTTTTACATTATCTCAATGGCTTGTGTGTGTGTGTGTGTTTTAAATAGAAGCTGTTATTCTTTTAACAAAAAAGGTTGGGAATTTCTTTAAAATATTAAAATTAAAAAGTGTTAAATTTCAGAGAGCAAAGACATTTGTAGACTAATTAGAGTAATTTAATTATGTTTGTTAAAGGTAACACATTATTTAATAATTGTATCATTCTTGAAAAGAAACACAGAATTTGACCTTAAAATTTGGGTAACCAATTCATTTTTCAATTATTTAAGAAAATTGGTTATTTAAAAACTAACTTTTATTGAATTCTCATCATTTCATTTTAGATGTTAAGGATGAAAATGAAACAATACTGGACTCGGGAGAAGTGGCCTCTTTGGAGGAACATATTCCTACTCGCCACACAAGTATCACTCTCCTCAGATGCACCTGCACAGTTTTCATGGCCGAATTCAATCTGCTGGGTCATTTGCTCCCTGTCATCATGGGAGAAAAGGTATATTTTTTGGTTTACTATCTGTGTTTTCATGTATCCTTGTTTGTTGACCCTGTGATATTGTAAGAGGAAGATGATTAAGTAAAAGAATATCTGACATAATTATCCATGAAGTTAAAGCAATGTAACTGTGATTTTTTTAGAGAGTAATTTAGAGAGTATATCAAAATAAAATAACCTCAGGCTGAGGCTGTATAAGGAAATCTTGAAGAGCATGGATCTGGGAGTCAGACCATACACCACAGACCAATACTAGCTGTATTTTTCAAATGGGCTGACAGATTCAGCTAGTAAAGAAGCAGCAAGCCCAGGTCTTCAGGTAGCTTGTTGCTTACATAGACAGCAAAAGCAGATTAGTAATGATGCTAGCTTGCCATGTCCCTTTGAGGACAGCCCTGAAACCAGAGGGTAAAGTGACGTGCAGCATACATGGTAGGGTATCCTGTTGGTAGGATTCAATACTACTTTGCAGCTAAGCAGATATATAGCCTACAGGTATACTCTTAAAGGGGGCAGGTAGAAACCTCCTCATCTCACCTGAATGAGGGATGTTGATGAGAAAATGTCTCAGAGTAGCCTCCCTCAAGATGAGGTGAGTGAGAAACAATTTTTTTAGTGGTTCCTTGCAAGACCGCCTGTCTTCCCCTGTGCTGCGTGTATCACAGGACATTCTATCAAGGCTGTGGTGGTTGCACGTTGCCTGTGTGGTCTCCACGGACTTGTGTAAGACTGGGGGGTCTTACACAGAGCATTTCCCCTGTAGTTCCTAGTTCCTAGAATTATTTTGAATGTTTAGTGAGATAATGCATGTAAATCATTTTGCACATTTTAGGAACCCCGTGATACTACTGTCATTGTTAATGAGGACTTAGTAGATGTTTTAATATTTGTTTAGGTCAATATATAATGTATTGCTTTCTGAGTTTGCCACGTGCATAAAAGATATATGCTATCTTAAAGTTATTTTTTTGCTATATTTCTTTTGATGTCTACATAATGATGGTGATTATAGAATTATAAGCTATCCTAACTTTAAATAAGAACTTTTGAAAGTATGACAAGGAATTGACTATAATGCAGGAGTTCCATTTTGTATATTTACTCTCTATTGGCTACTCATAATTAATTCGTATGTTGCTAGGTAAAGAGATAACCTGAGGAAAATTTCAATGGAGAAAATTAAAATATGTTAGTATTAAACGTGAACTTTAAAGTAACTATGATTAATAAGTTCAAGAAAGAGGCAAAAAGTAGATGATTTCAAAAGAAACCTCAGTCCATTAGAAAAGAACCACATAAAATTCTGGAACTGAAAAATTTTAACACAAGTTAGAAGGAAAAGGATGGAAAAAGATACACTACTTAAATGCTAATCAGCAGAAAGTCAGTATGGCTTATTTAATATCAACAAATGTAGAGTGTAAGACAAGAAAAATTATTAGAAATAAAGAGAACCACTTCATAATGAGGAAAGTGTCCAGGGAAAAAGTGAATGACATAGATGATTCTCACAGGTGTTATGTTGAATGAAAGCAAGCAGACATGAGTATATACCGTATGATGCCATTTAAATGCAGTTCAGGAACAGACAAAACTAATCTATGGTGATTGAAGTGGGAATATTGGCTACCTCTGCTGGGGATTCAGTGTAGCCTGAGAAGAGAACCTTTTCAGGTGCTTGAAATATTGGTGGTTACAGATGTAAAACTTGTTGAGCTGTACACTTAAGATATGTGTACTCTACTGTATGATATATCTTAATAATTCAAAATAATTTCACTTCAGAAGTAAAGTAATTGCTTGGTAAGTGGTAGTTTAAAAATCATGGTTAACAGTCAAAAAAGCACGATTGTAAGTTCAATTTAGTCAATTTTAGTGTTTCTCAGTAGTGGTACTGTTGATTTTTTGCACTAGAGGAATATTAAGTAGCATTTACCATCTTTAGCCTGTGGCTACTAAATGCCAGTACTGCTTCCCAGTTATTGTGATGATGAAAGACAGACAAAACAAAAACAGTGAAATTGCTCTTCCCACATTTTTTCACCTACCTCTGGGTAGAAGGTCAGTATTTTTCTTTTGAGAACTACAGGTGTGGCATTTTAAGGGAATAGGTTAGTTCTACGACAGGAGGGAGTTGTTGGTTAATCAGGGTTGATATCCTGGACATCTTGAAACTTACCTGCATTTATTTTGATGCTTAGAATGGTTCTGTAACACTGAAAACTAAGCCTATCTTGAGATTCTTAGGACTTTATGAGCCTTTAGCATGTGTATTGTTAGTAGATATGACATGGACCAGAGATTTTTCTGTTCTGCAAACTTTGCTCATTATTAGTATTTTTGAAACTGTCTGAAGTAATCCATTTAGTCCCTAAGTCATCTAAATGTGAAAAGTCATCTAAAGGGAAAGAGTATAAAGGGAGGCTGGCTCTGGGATATCTAGGGAAGTTCTTTTCAGTGATTAGGCAGAACAAATGTGCTGAGGCACACAGTGGCACTGTACAGTTGATTGAAAAAATGAAAAGCTTCAGCTGAAAGGGGAGTGATAATTTTGCAATAATTATGTATTTTTTTGAAATCTGGGATATACTTAAAAATTTGTAGAAGGTTTTGCTTTTGGTTTTAGTAAGAGAGTCCCATAGAAAGGCATCATTTCCAGATCAATTTAATAATTACTGCAAGATGTGTCAGTCTGAAGCTGGTATAGAGAACGTTTCGCATTAGTCACTGTCCTACTGAAATATAAAGTGAGTGCTGTTGTTTTGCAGAACTCAAGTAACTTCATGAATACTACAAACTTCCAGTCTCTTCGGCCTTTGCCTGCTATTCAGATACTGGTGGATAAAATTAATCTGGATCATTCTGTGCCAATGTATGCTGAACGTTTGGTACATGTGGTCAGCAGCCTTACTCAGCCTTCTGATAATCTGCTTCATTATTGCTATGCACACTGCTACCTTAAGGTATGAAAAGTGAATTTTCTTCTTTATTAGTATCTGATGGCTTTGGAAAAATTAAATAAATCTTTTTTTAAAGTTGTAATTTCACAGAATTAGTATTCCATCTGATGAAATTTAAATGATATGAGAAATATATTATTTAATATAATTAAAATGAATAAAAAGTATATCGTTTCAAAGAGATTTCTTCAGTTATTTGAGATTAATACCTCAATGTTTATAAGATAATAATTATAATTTTTGAAGATTTTATGATCATTGATGATTATATTTATAAGCACTATGCAAGAGCAGTTAGTTTATAATGGTGCTTTAAAAGACTTGTGTGACTCATCTGTGTGAGACAATGTTTTATAAGGAGGATTTAGCACATTTGCTTTCTAGTCACTTTCCTCTTACTCATGTTAATTTCTTGATGTGGAAGGAAAACTTTTTCATTGCTTTAAATCAGTTTATGTAAAGTTAATTATTGGAGGCTTTGGTCAGCTCTTACATAGGGTTTTTTTTTTTTTTTTTTTTGTAAATAAGTAATACATCCAAGTATAAGTTATGTGAAAAGATGAACTCAAATGTTGATCGGTGTTTTTGCTAAGCAAACACAGATGTAGAGTCTAAGTAGGGATTGCATAGACCTAATTAAATTCTGTTTCATGGACTAAAGGAAATTATACAAATTTGAATTCAAGAATAAGTACTAAATTTAGCATAATATCCTCAAGGTCCATCTGTGTTGTTGCCAATGGCACGATTTCATTCATTTTTATGGCTGAGTCATATTCCATTGTATATACAGAGATGGCAAGAGTAGGTTTACAGTTGTGAGTACGTAAAACATTTATTTTGATATTATTATTTATTAGTTATTATATTATTTACTTGTATTACAACTATAAACCCACTTTGGCCTACCCCATAGGTACCACATCATCTTGATCCATTTGTCTGTTGGTGCGCTCTTAGGTTGCTTCTGTATACTGGTTACTGTAAATAATGTTGTATTGAATGTAGGGGTAAATACACCTTTTTGAACAAACAAAATGGAAACAAACTCTTAGAAACAGATAACAAATTGATGGTCGCTAGGTGGGAGGGTGGCTGGGTGATTGGTGAAGAAGGTGAAAGGAATTAACAAGTTCAAATTGCCAGTTATAAAAATAGTCATGGGAATGTAAAGTACAGCACAGAGAATATAGTCAATAATATTGTAATAACTATGTATGGTGTCAGATGGGTGCTCACCTATTGAGGTAATCACTTAGTAAAGTATATAAATGTGTAATCAGTATGTTGTACTCCTTAAAGTAATAGAATATTATAAAACTGTAATTGGAAAATAAATTAAAAAAATAAGCAAAAAAAAAGGACTAAGAATATGTTATATAAAGTACTAAAAAAATACAGGACTACAAAAATAGACTCTTGACTGTTGTTTCCTATTTATTATTTGATGTTTTAAAGTTCTTAAATATTTGTATGTTTGTAAAGTAAAAAGAAATCAATTTAAAGATACCAGTTTTAGATCACCCCTAAGTGTATTTAAGATGTTAAAATTTGACTGTTTTTAAACCACGTAGAGTAGAAGAACATATTTTCCTAGCTGCCAAAGCCCATTTTTAAGAGGATTGAAGAGACCCCACTCCCTTGATGAGGGAGCCACAGTATCAGGTTGCAGTGTGATTCTTTGAGGGCCATTATAATGATTTGTTACTGTTCTATGTCATGTGGAGTGTAGCAGAAGGTATATGTGAAAATTAGATATATATTATTTTGTATTTGTGCTTTTTATTAATTCCCATAATTAATACACTGAGACGTAGGAATATGATATTTTAAGATATTGATACAATGTGAATATCATATTATAATATTAAGAATATTTGCTTTGTTGAAACAGGTCTAATTTTAGGCAGTTCACTAATCTTGTCAATGTATTCTACTTACTGTAGGATTCATTAACATGGTAAATATTAAGTTTCTTCTATATTGCAGACATTCAGCACTACAAGTGAATAAGGCATGCATGCCTTATTTTCAAGTAAAATGGTCATGAAAGTTACTGCTGACCAATATGGTTGTCATACACACTTATATAAAAGTTATTAGAATCATTATTTACTACTACTGTTGTTAATGTTAAAATCCCAATTAAATTTTCAGAGTAATGTAGAAATTATAATATAGTTCAGATAAAGTGATGTTTTGGGAAAGGATCTTTTGCTATACATTTGGTTAGTTTGACTGTTGATATAATAGCTAAATTATATGTCCCAGGAAGCTAGATGTATGCAGAGTGGGAATAGTATGATATATGTAGAAAAATTTTTTGTTAGTATTATGAATATTGAATACTTTAAAAAAGCCTTGAATTTTGAATATTTCATTGCATTTTTTATGCTTCTTCAGTGGCCTAGTACATTTAAAAAATTCAGAATTTGGTAGAGTTATTTTATATGGCTATTTGGAATTGACTCAAAGTGCTGATTTATTATAAAGTTTACTAGCAATTCATGTTACTTGGGATGATTATTATGTATAACCTTTGAGAAAGTTTTCACTGTTAGAGTGTTAAAATATTACAGAATAGGATTTAAATATCTATTTTGTGTGTACGGCATTTTAGACCCTAAGTAATTTTCAATTACATACCCAAATCCTTAAGTTTTAATTTTGTATAGCTAATTTTGTCTATATTGACTAAGTGACAAAATAGTATTTTGTCATTTTATGTAGGGACATTTATTGAGACAGTTGGCAGGGATGTGTGAAGAAAACATGCAGATGAAACTTGTATGTCTTACCAAGTCCTGTATGTAACTGCTAAGCCCATCCTTTGAATATGTATGATGTCAAGTAGCAAAGACATTACAAAGTATCTGATGTTTGAAACATATAGAAAATAAGTTAGTGAAAGTACCTTGTAAATTATAGAATAATGTATAAATTTAAGACTACATTACTCCAAAGGAGCAGCTATGGTAAGTACTAGAGAGAAAGAGAGAGAGAGAGAGAGATCAAGAAGGGTACAGTAGAATCAGAACCCTTTGGATTTTTTTAGATTTAGTAATTTCTGATCTCAAGTAAACAGTTTTTCCTGAGGATTTGTAGGAAAGGTGCTTTCATACATGGCTGGTGGGTATATAAATTGGTATCATTTTGGAGAGTACTTTTGCAGGATCTAGTAACTGAAAAACACATGTACTTTACATCCATCCATTCCAGTTTTCAGGGTATATATATCTTACAGCAACATCAGCAAGCTTTTCTCTAAAGGGTCAGATAGTAAATATTTTAGGCTTTGTGGGAAAAGGCAACATTTAAGATATCATGTAGTTGCTTAATAAGAGAACAAATTTTCATAAATTTTGAGTTGATCTAATGCAAAATAGAATAGTCTTTTTTTTTTTTTGTAATACAGTTTTGCTACTTGAACAGCAACTAGATTTAGAAGGTTTAAGGTATGAGTAGTCAATGAAAAAAAAGCATTCTCCAGGCTACTCTTTGAATAAATTAGCCAATTAAGGTGAGAAATAGAATTTTACTGCTGGTTGGAGGAGAGGTAATGGTGAGAAAGATTTTTTTTTTTCTTTAAGAATAACTGGAGAATCAATACTTTTTTGGAGAGGGGGAGGAGGAAATTGAGGGAAGAAGCGAGGCAGAGTGAAATTGTGAGCTTATAGATGAGGTAAATCAAATGACACATTATATTTCTGTTCTAGCAATATGATTTTGAAGAAGTCCTTTATCCCTTTTCATTCTTCCCATAGTAGAATGAGGTGAATTAGTTAAGTAATCTCTAAGCAGTTATAGCTCTGAAGTTCAAATTTTTTATCAATTAGATCTGGTTCTATTCTTTTCTCCTGAAGGGTTTGTCTTTTTAAAATGTTCATTCTTATGTTGTAGGTTTCTAGTTATAATTATTATTTTTATTTACTTTTTATATATTCCATGGTGTTACTATGTACAGATTAACTTGAGACATGAAGGTAATGCTTGATTTTTTTTTGTCCCTTTGGAAAAAAGGAACATCTTAAGAATGTTGGTTATACTACCATGCTGAGTTTATTATAGTGACAACATAAAAATTATTTGTTTTACATCACAATTGTCATTGTCATTTACAGTTAGTATGTGCTTTTCATTTTTTTGTCTTTTACCATTGCAAATCCTAATTTAGCAACTAATTTTTACTAAAAACTAATTATTAGAAATGAATTTTGTTTCTAATTTTGCTGCATTTTTTCCAATATGTGATGTTAATTCAAGAATATTTGTTTTAAACTGTTACTATATATTATATATTTTTATTGCTTTCTTCTTGGATTTTTCAAAAAAAGATGTCACTGTATGTTTGAGTTTTCATTTAATGAGATGTGTAAGTCATCTCATTCAAGTTGACATTTCCTTCAGCTAAAATTTAGATTAGTATGTACAGTTACTGCTTCATAAGTCTTGACTGCTTCAGACAATTGGTTTGTAGCATTCAGTACTTTTATCTCATTTCTGAATATATGAACTATCTTTGGTGAAAGCATCCTCAATTCATACTGTGCTGGTTTTCCTGTTTCTTAGATAGTGTATTTGTAATCTTGGTCAGGGGTCCTTGACTTTAGGTTATATAGGTATTGTAAATCTAGGTATCTTCTTGCTATAATTTTAAAGGAAGGAGTTGAAAATTGGTTATATTGAAATATTTATTTTTCATATAAGCTGTGTTTTATTATAGTTTATGCTCGTTTGAATGTTCTCTTAGGAGTGTCTCTGGGCAACAGGTAAATTTAGTAAAAGCTGCAGTTACAGAATAATATGTAGCTTCCTCCAAGTTCTTTGCAGTTCTGTAAATAGCCAGCAGGGGATCTCCTCTACACCCGTTTCCATCTAAGTACAGTTAATGATAAGTGTCTTTGATTATACTGTTGAGACATTTTATAGAACGTGTGAAAATGGCTTGAGAGAGTTCTTAGCTGGATATAGATAATCTAGTGTGAAAATATTATCTTTAGGCACACTCTAGAAATATTTGTAGGTTGGACATTTTTTAATAATTATGTTTTGTATTATGGTATTAATAAATGTAGATTTCAGAATTTTTTAAATAGTGGGCCTTTCAGAGGAAATATGAAATTCTGAAATTGCATAGTGCCCAGAAGTTCTTTGTGTACAGTGTTGCTCAGAATAAGTCTTCAAAGGGAATGAAGGTGGAATAACTTGATTTTTAAAGTTGATCATTTAAGTATTAGAAACATGTTTTTCTTTTTCTTCTCAGTTCTGTATTTTTTGCTACTTGGCTAATAGTGGGACTTATAGGAATTAATAAGTATATTACTTTCATTTTCCTTGATAGTAAATTAGGTAGGTAGGTAGGTCTTTTAAAATGCGGTTGTCTCTTAAAGTGTATAATTCTAACTAATGTCTTATTTCTAAAACATTATTTTGTTCCCTGAGAACTAACTTTAGAGGAAAGAATTTCACATTGTAAGTCTGATGAAGGATAAGACATAATAGCTTTTAGGAACCATTTGGAAATAGCTTAATAATTTCTAAGAAATTGATCATTGGTTTATGTTCTTAAATAAAAGTTGTATTTTGTAGATTACGTAGATATTGAAGTTTTTAAAACCTGTTTTTACTGTAGAACTTACATTCATTGTTAATCCTAGAGATAGGAAAGCTTGTGCTTTATTAACCCAAGGAATAAAAAATAATAATGAAAGATAAATGTTGGGCTTAGGCTGCTTCTGCATGTTGTTGGAAAACAGCAGCTCTCTGCCTTGTCCCTGTATGTTAGTGTTTCCTGTTTGAGGTGTTCTTCTCTTACTTGATGGGAAATAATTAGTGCAGAAATGTAATACTTAGTTCCTTGCTATACTTCATGTAAAATGTGATGTTATATTGATTTTTCCCATTAAGGCAAATACAGTGTTCATAAGTTTCATGGAATGTTTATAAATTTTTGAGTGTGATCTCATTTTAAATATAAACGTAAGAGCGATTTATGCCATGTTCCAAATTTTCTGGGTGAAAAATCTCAGCCCTACAATTATTTTTACATGATAAAGGGAAAAGATGTAACATTTTGGGATATATTTGAATTTTTTTGTGTGTAATGTAATCGAAGGCAAATACATTTTTTAAATTGTTCATGTTGTAGTTAATGTTCTTTTAGGCACAAAATGATATTAATAGTAATTTATTAAAGTTAATATCTACAATGTGCACAGTGTAATTATTTATAGTAACAGAAAATATGTGCATTTTAGCAGATAATAAAATACTAAATGAGAATTATTTATAGAGATCAAATGTGAAACTTAAAAATTAGTAAAAAATGGAGAGCAGGGATGTGAAAGAAATACTGTATTTTTAAATGTCTTAATTCTAACTTAGTTAATGTCAAATTAAATAAAAGAAACTATTGATGTTTGGAAAGTGGAAAAAGACATTGGAACATATTTAGTGTGCAGCTGTTGTGGAGCAAATTGAAACTGACGTATTTCATCCTGTGCTTATTAAAACTTTGTCTCTGTGAACATTTGGATCTTTTCTTTTTGTTTCAGATCTTTGGTTTCCAGGCGGGACTGACGTCTTTAGATTGTAGGGGATCTTACTGCTTACCTGTACCGATTATTCCCTCTTTCAGCACTGCTCTTTATGGAAAACTTCTGAAACTACCTACGTGCTGGTAAGTATTATGTTAAAATTGGCTTATGGTAATTTTTATTTATTATCTTAGAAGGAGTAAAAACCAGTTGTATCTGTTTTATGTCAGTGTGTTAGTTTATATAAAACCTTAGAAAAATATCTGAATTCATACTGTCTTTTACTGAGACACTAAAAGTCTCTTTTAATATCTCAAGTGTATTAGGTCATCATATCTTTTGTGGTAGTGATAACTGTTGTTTGGGTTATAACTGTTAATCCATATTGGAGCCGTAGTAAAATAAATGTTGCTGCTTCATAATGTAATAGAAACTGCAAGGGCAAATACTTTTTGTTTTTCTTTGAGATGATGCAGATAAAAATTAAAGAAAGCTCGGATATTGATATTAAAGCCAAAGTATTTATCACCTAAGTAACAATTTTATGTGTATTCATACCCACTAAGAAAAGTATACCCATGACATCCACATAAAATATTTGACGTATACATGTGTAGTCATTGCATTATCATTCAGTATTGGGTTACTTTATTTGGTGGTCATATTTCCTTAAACTCAAAGAGACTTATAAAAAGGAAGTCAATAGTTAATTATAATTTCTTTTAGTTGAAAACAATACTTTTAATATATTAAAGAAATAATTGTTTAAATATATGAAATAAGGTTTAAATATATGAAGTGATATCCTAGTGGATGAAGTATTGCTACATTTTAAAACTGAGATTATTTCATGTATTTGAAATGTATTTTTGCTTTCTTATACTAATTAGTAAGTGTATTTTTATAGGATGATTTCTATTATTTTGAAAAGTAACATAACTTTCAGAAAATAGATATTAATTTTTTCTATCTAAAGTACTTTACTTGCTGATAATTTTCTTCAATAATATATAACTTTTAATTTTTAGTATATTTTATTGATTATGCTATTACAGTTATAGAGTGGAATTTGTAAAGTAAATGTTGACATTTTAAAAGAAATTTCCTATTGATTCAGAAATTTAAAAATGCAGAAATTACAGTTAATTACAAGTCTTAGAATCAGTTCTATAAAATGAAAGCATTATTAAATAATTATTCTTATTTATACTTGATAAGTTTAATTTTGGCCTTAGTTATTCATATTCCTCATATATCATTTATTATGTTGTTTAGAGATTATTTTAAACTTTATATGTGTATATATAGCATATTGCATTTGAGTCAAATTCTATATTTAAATCTGTTAAGAAATACCATGTGATATGTCACAGTTGGTGTTGATACCTATTTTAATAGATGTTTGTGAATACTGTTTTCTCAGTTATGTGCTGATTTATTATTCTTAACTTAAATCTTATTGGAAACACAGGGCACTTTATATGGAAAAATGCTTGACAACTTTTAAAAACAAAAAGCCAAAATTTCCAAAGTGAATTATAACCTTTATATGAAAAATACTGAATATTTAAATAGGCAAGGCTTATTTTAAGTATGTATAGGGCTTTCTATAAATATTGTCAGATGTGATTTAAAATACGTCTGCTGATATCTAAAAGACAATATTCCAATTTAATACTAAAAGCATAAGATCACAGAATGCAAATATTTATTTGGATATGGTTTGCTTTTTTTGTAGTGAAGACCACTTGTTTTTATTTTACTGATATTTTTGCTGTGCTTTATAGAAGTATATTACTTTGAATTAATTTCTTTAAATTATTTCCCTTAATAAGTAGAAAGTAAGTTATAATTAATCTATTGTTAACAACTCTAAATTTGAAAGTCGTAAATACAAACCTCAATAAACTGAGATATATCTGAGTTAAATGAAGTGAATAAAAATGCCAGATAAAATACATCAGGTAGTGCTTGAATTAAATCAAAATCATATGCGAACTGAGAAGTTTATTTAACTCATGCAGTGAGGATTTTTTAGTAAGGCACCCTGGTTATGTCATTTAATGTCAACTCTGCTGCCGTTCATGGTTTCTCCCCTCCTCAAATTACACAGGCTGTTTTAATTTGGGTTTTTAATATTCACATTCCAGTTTCTTAAAGCATATGTATGATGCTGTGTCTCTATTTCATTCAATAATGAGAAGAGCACATTTACCACAGGCCCCAGGACATTTTATAGCACATTGAATTTTAGTCTGTATGTTGGAGTTAACATTGTAAATCAGCAAAATAGTTTATACTTTTTATTTAAAAAATTTTTTAAAGATTTTATTTATTTATTTTTGGAGAGTGAAAGGGAGAATGAGAGAGGTAGAGAAACATCGATGTGTGAGAGGAACATTGATGGGTTACCTCTTAGCCAGCAACCCAAGCATGTGCCCTGACTGGGAATCAAACCTGCAACCTTTTGGTTCTCAGGGCAGCACTCAATCCACTGAGAGGCACACAAGCCAGGGCCTAAGAATATTTTAAAAGTCAGAGTTTAATTGTGCATGAAGTTTCAAACTAATTGCCATTTACTTTCAGCATGTTTGCTAATAAATATGTTCTAAGGAACATTGAAAATGAGTTATATTTCTCTCATTCAAGTGATCCAATTTTAGCCTCAATGAAGAAGCAATTAGTAAACTTCAGTTTTTTAGAATTTATTTTAAAAAATATTTGGAGATACGTACTTTTTGTTTTTATTTTTATTTATTTTTATTTGTTTTTACTGAATTTACTGGGGTGACATTGGTTTGCAAAACCATACAAATTTCAAGTGTACAACTCAACAACACATCACCTGCATACTGGCACCCATCACACCAAACTAAGTCTCTTTCCATCCCCATTTCCCTGCCCTTTGTCTTCCTCCACATAGCCCCCACGTGCCTTTCCCTCTGGCTATCACCACACTGTCCTCTGTGTCATTGTGTTGTGTGTGTATGTGTTTGGCTAATCCCTTCATCTTCTTTCATCCAGTGCTCCCTCCCCTCTCCCCTGACAGCTGTCAGTCTGTTCCACGTATCCAAGCCTCTGTTTCTATTTGTTCATCAGTTTATTTTGTTCATCAGATTCTGTATTTAAGTGAGATCATGTGCTATTTACCTTCCTCTGATTGGCTTATTTCACTTAGCATAATAATCTGCAGGTCCATCCATGTCCCAAAAGGTAAGATTTTTCTTTTTCACATCTGCGTAGTATTCCATTTTGTAAATGTACCAAAACTTTTTTATCCACTCATCTACTGATGGACACTTGAGATGCTTCCAGATTTTGACTATTTTAAATAATGCTGCAGTGAACATAGGGTGTACATGTTCTTTTGAATCAGTGTTTTGGGTTTCTTCAGATAAATTCCTGTAAGTGGGATCAGTGGGTTATAAGACAGTTCCAATTTTATTTTTTTGAGGTAACGTCATGCTGCTTTTCACTGTGATTGCACCAGTTTGCATACGTACCAACAATGTCCAAGGGCTCTCCTTTCATCATATCCTCACCTTCACTTGTTTGTTGATTTATTGATGGAAGTCATTCTGACAGGAGTGAGGGGATACCTTGTTTTTTAATTTGTATTTCACTGATGATTAGTGGTGTTCTGTGTATTTTCATATGTATATCCTCTTTGGAGAAATGTTTATTCAGGTTCTTTGCCTATTTTTTTAATTTGATTTTTTTTTTGGTGTTGAGTTGTGTAAGTTCTTTATAAATTTTGGATATCAGATTTATTGGTGAATATGTTCTCCCATTCATTTGGTTTGTTTTTATTGCTGATGGCTTTTTTTTTGCTGTGGAAAAGCTTTTTTAGTTTGATGTAGTCCCATTTGTTTATATTTTCTTTTGTTTCCTTTGTCTAATGAAATCTATCAGAAAAGAATATTGCTATTGCTATGAGAAATATCTGAGATTTTACTACCTATGTTTTTGTCTAAATCTAGAATTTTAATGTCTTTGAGTCTAACATTTAAGTCTGTAATCCACTTTGAGTTTATTCTTGTGTAAAGTGTAAGAAGGTGGTCATGTTTCATTTTATTTTACATGTATCTGTCCAGTTTACTTAGCACCATCTATTGAATTGACTATATTTACCCTATTGCATGTTTTTGCCTCCTTTTTTGAATATTAATTGACTGTAAAGACATGAGATTATTTCTGGGTTTTCTATTCTGTTCTGTTAATCAGTATATCTCTTTTTATGCCAGTACCATGCTGTTTTGATTTCAGTGACCTTGTAGTAGAGTTTTATAATCAGGTAGTGTGATTCCTTCAACTTTGTTCTTTCTCAAGATTGTTGTTTTTATTCTGGGTCTTTTGTTGTTTCCTATATATTTTTGGAATATTTGTTCTACTTATGTGAAATATACCATTGGTATCCTGATAGGATGCACTGAATGTATACATTGCTTTGGGTGGTATGGACATTTTACTGATGTTATTTCTTATTCATGAACTTGGTAAATGCTTCCACTTATTTGTATCTTCTTCACTTTCTTCAGTGTCTTATAATTTTTCAAGTACAGGTGTTTTACATCCTTGGTTAAATTAATTCCTAGTTATTTTATTTTATTTTTTAGGAGCAATTCTGAATGGGATTGTCTTCTTCTTCTTCTTTTTTTTAAACAGTAACATTTTTTAAATGTATTTTAGGCTCTGCAGGACACACAGTTATTTTTTTTAAGATTTTATTTATTTATTTATTTTTTAGAGAGGGAAGGGAGGGAGAAAGAGAGACAGAGAGAAACATCAATGTGCGGTTGCTGGGGGTCATGGCCTACAACCCAGGCATGTACCCTGACTGGGAATTGAACCTGCGACACTTTGATTCGCAGCCCACGCTCAATCCACTGAGCTACACCAGCCAGGGTGGGATTGTCTTCTTAGTTTCCCTTTCTGATAGTTTATTATTGGGTGTATAAAAATGCAACTTATTTCTGGATATTTATTTTATGTCTTCCTACTTTACTGATTCATTTATCATTTCTAGTAGTTTCTTTGTGGAATCTTTAGGGTTGTCTATGTAAAGTATCATGTCATCTGCAAATAATGACATTTTCTTCCTTTCCAATTTGGATGCCTTTTATTTCTTTTTCTTGTCTAATTG